CATGACATTAAATGAAGAAAGCTCAAGTATATAAGAGAAAATTGGTTTTATCAATTGTGTTGCTAATGTAAATTGGCCATCGTAAAGAGTTTGTAAAGCTGACGTTTCGAGTGTTAGTGTAAGAGTATAAGAGCAAATGACGTTATCGACACAGCTGATAAAAGCAAATTATCATTTAAAACCCTCAATCGATGCAAAACCACACTTTCTTTAGAAATTTACCCCCCTTATTTAAACTTAGGAAATTATATTAAAATCCGATATCGAACGGTTTCCTTACTTTAACGTTCTAGATTATCATTACTGAACTTAGTTTTGCACTTTCCTACAGACACAGCACGGCAGAATCTCTAGAAAGTTAATCGATCACGCTGAAAGAAGTACGAAGTCTTTCATTTCTTTATCTCATTCAGCACAGACTCCTGTACACAGAGATGCATTTTAACCGCCGCCGGGGAAAACTGGTATTTATAAACAAAGCTAAGAAAATGCCAAACCAATAACAAGAAACCAAGAGTTCTAACTTCGGACAGTTAGTTCGAGAGCCTCACCTCTGTTATCACATTGAGAGCTGTGTCTACTCCTAAACTAAGATCTGTACCGGGCACATTGTTACTAATTGTGGCAGGAATGATAACCATTGGAATGCGGAAAGCTGGGAACTTGTCACGGGCTTCTGCAAGCTCCAGAACAGCGTTGTAAGCCTTAGGAAGAAAGAAATCATGCATGATTACGACTTACTTAGCAAAACTTGGGCGTTTTTGATACTATTTCCAAGGAAACAGACAAAAACATGCCAAAGCAGCAATCCATCGAAGAATTAGTGTTTTATACCGACTGAAACACTACCTAATCAATGAAAAGTTGGTTTGATTCCAAAATGTGGCCCCGTAGCTCAGCTAATAGTGGAACCAAAACACGAGCTTAGTCCCGGAGTGAGACGATTTTTCAATTTCTCCAATTTGTTAAAAACTAGCAAACAAATAAACAAACAAACAAACGTACAAACAAACAAGAAATAATAACAAAAATATTAAAAAAAGAATACGCAAACAGTAAAAACTGCATAAAAACACAGCCCGTGTAAAACTACGGGGACGGTTTTTTCCTTGCGAACATAAAACAACGAAAATTTGCTGATATTGTGTAACGTGGTGAAACTGGTAGGTGGTAAGACAACAACCTCGCCTTACCTCAAAGCCTCCAATAACCAACAGTCCTTGAATCCCGTGTTTAGATAACTTTTCTGCAACCTTTTGCATATCTTTAGAAGGTAAGGTTCTGTAGGTAAAAAGTTAACGTGTGAGGAAACACTGTGCGTAAAATGTTCGCTGCCAGTGTCTTTACTAGGTCAGTCTGTATCTGAGGCTAAGCTTTCACGCATCAAGTTTTCTTTAAGTCAGAAAAGCTCTCTAGCACTGTATAACAAGCAGCAACAGCGAGAAGACAGTAAATTTTTCATTTGGTCATCATATCTCCCGCAGAATTAGCTTTAATTATCATGACTTTCATTGACCAGTCAGGCCCCGCTCGCAGTTTTACCGAAGTGCATTATACACAAATGCCTGTATTCAGGCCGTAGGCGTTGGCGTGGGCATGGTTGGAAAAATAACAACAGTAATAAGATGTATACATACCTTGTGGTTCCCAATTTGGATCCTCCTGCCCCCGCCCAAGAGTCAACATGGAGCCATCCTAGTTGTTCCACCTGTTTAAGTTTATTGCCAAAGGATAAAGGGGGTAAGTTTCTAGAGAAACTGTGGTGCTGCGTCGGTGGGAGAGTAGAACAGGGTAATTTAGTATTATTAACAGAGTTGAAAACGTAAATTGACCACCGTAAAGAGTTTAAAGGCTGACGTTTCGAGCGTTAGCCCTTTGCCAGAGCGTCCAGACATTTTCTCCTTTACATTAAACGTCTTTCAATTTCTTTTCTTCCCTTTCCTGTGCTTCTTTTTAATGCATTTTTATGTGTTATTTCTTAATTTCTGTATTATCTCCAATGTAATTTGATTAAGTCAAATTCAATTTAGTAAAGAAAAAATTGACCCGCCTCGATTAGCATCTGTTATCTGCGGGTCAAAAGAATATCTTGTATTCATTACCTTGTCATCAAAGAGCCCATTGATTCCATCTCTGATTCCCAGCACTGTGTGTCCTTGATAGAGTGAGAAGCGGACAAAGGCACGGACAGCAGTGCTCATGCCTCCTGCAGGGGCGCCAATGTTGATAACTGCCAAGGTGTGACCAGACTGAACAAGACAGAACTAGGTTAAAGGCGGGAACAGGTGTTGGGGGGTCTTAGCTAGCAGAATGCGAGGAATAAAGGGAAAAAGGAGAGAAAGAAGTAAGGAGGGATAGACAGTGAGTAGAATGAAAGATGAGTTGGGGGAATTTGAGATAAGAGGAAATGGTGTAGAATCAGGGATGCAAGGGAAAAGGAAAAGAAGAAAAAAGGGAAGGGAAAATGATGGAAGGAGGTGGCGGGGGAGGGAGAAGGGAACAATGGACGAAAAGAGTGACTAAAGGGGGAAGATGAAGAAGGTTGAGAGGAGGGAGAGGGAAGGAATCAGAAAGATAAGAATGGTGTAAATACATCCAGGAAAAGCTGAGAGTCAGGACATGTAGTGTCGCAGATGGATATTTGAAGATATAGGTGGACACTGTAAATTCTTTCTTCTCAGAGGGAATTGAAACGTCTCAAATTCATAATTAAGAATTACTGCATCTTTGAGTATCTAAATATTTACGAAGAGAGCATGCATACTTTGCAAGTGCCAGATATATCACACTGGCTGGAGACTGGAGGCTCCACTTCCTTCAAGACTTTGAAAATCTCTATGTTGCTCTGGAAGGTTCTGGAATAAAAAAAAACATCCATTGGCAAAGGGATACCTATCTGGTAAAACTTTAACTTTCACCACAGACTTTTAAATACCAATTAAGGAGGAAATGATAACCAATTGTCTTAATTCAAAACGGTGCTGTGCGCAACAGTAAAGGAAAATGGAAGACTTATGAGGGAAATATTAAAGTTACATAATATCACATGTTGTACCTTCCTCTCAGTTCGACAACTTTATCAAAGTTCTTTGCTTTCGTTGCGTCCTTGACTTCCAGAGTCTGCAGAGTAATATTTACACTGAATGATGAATGCTGATTATGAAAAATAGGTTTACATTGCAGACATGTGGGTAGTGCTTTTTCCATGTTGCCATGGGTCTGTTCAGTAATAGATCACAGAAGACGTTAAAATGCCGTGAGAACATCAGTGATACATTCGGGTGCACCTCGTGAACTACTCTTTTTTGTTTTTACCACATTTGGACGTCATCTGTGATCTATTACTGAACATGTGCATGGCAACAGGGAATCACTTTGCTACTTTGACAACATGAATTACAAAGGCCATGTTATAAATGAGTTTACCTTGTGGACACATTCCATGAGTCCTCTTTTCTTGATCTTGTTTCCATCCAGGCAGATTACACATGGGGCAGTATCTGGCTTGGCATCCAAGACAGCAAGGGCTGCCTCTGCTCCCATGCGACAAGACTGCAAAATTGATACATAAATGTACCACTTTTTTGCAAGTACAAAAGCTAAATATAGTTGTGCACATTCTAGACAGCAACCCTACATGGTTTATTATATGACCTATTCACCTAGTTGGTAATGCTAATTGAACTGTATGAAGTGTGATTTGGTCTGAAATCTTACATGTGATTTCAAAATCAAATGAGCGCGCTGCGCTAGTTCAATTTGAAATCAATAGAAGTATGATTTCAGACCAAAATTGCATGACATGAAGTTTAACCACCACTTCATTACACTCGTTTTGCACTTCTGATTGGCTGAAAACTAGTGCATTTTTCTTGTAACACAAGTGCAAAGTTCTAACATGAGTGCAAATTACAAATAACATGCGCATGCTGTCAAAATTTCATCTGCCGTGACTTCCTGTGATGCTTTTTTCATGTAAATTATTAACTAGTAATTATGGGCTTGTGCAATTTTGTTGTCTTCGAAAAATATGTTCATGCTTATTAATACTAAATTGCACTCAAACTCGTGTAATTACCGATACCAAAACAATTACCAGAATTCTGTCAAAAGCAGATGGGATTCCTCCTCTCTGGACATGTCCAAGAATCGTGACTCGTGCATCGTGCTGGAGTTTTGTCTTGACAAGCTGTAAAAAAAAAAACCCACACAAAATATAGGTTTTTGTGCAAGAACGTTCTCCCTGACTAAACACAATTCTGAATGACTGTTATGTAATACTATAAATTGCACTGTGTACCTCCTTAATGTCATTAGCAGTGACAGGGTTTCCTGCAACATCCTGAGCACCCTCTGCCACAATGATCATGCATAAACGTCTTCCACTATCCCTGACCTAATAGAAACAACACAAAAGATGCAGTACTGTTAATCTCTAACAGAAAATTTCAGGTCTTAGGTCCGCTGGCACCCCAAAAAAACAACAACAACAACAACAACAAAATTCACAAATTCAATTGCATTGCCTTAGAGTCAATCAGAATTGTAAGCATCACCAATAGTTTCAAAATGAGTGTAATATATGTTGAAATACCAAAATGATAAGAAAAGAACACCTACTTTTCTCAAGTGATTGCACATTTTTTCCTCCCACCCTTCCTGGACAGGCCATTCAGGGATGAAAATCTAAAACAAGATGATAAGTTGATGTCCAATTTGATGTACAATTAGACAAGTAGTTGACAAAATTGGACAACAATGAGGTGGGAGTACCACTTGATAACCATAAATATATTAATGGACAGAATTGGATGAATTAAAGTCCTGTTATCAGTTACAAGCCATCAAAACTAGCATGAAATTTGAGAGACAAAACAGCAGTGGTTTCATCCTTTTACTCCCAAGATCTCATAAGTAATTCTCATTACTGTCTACCATATAATTCTTATGAAGATATTTCAGAGAATTTGGTATTGGATCAACTAATAATCCCCTAATAAATATTTTTCTTTATTCTCATCACTTGTCTGTTTGATATTACAATCACTCTGACGAAGGGCTAACGCTCGAAACGTCAGCTTTTTTACCCTTTACCGTGGCTAATTTACGTTTTCAACCCAGTTGTTAACACTAAATTACCTGCTATACTCTCCCACCGACGCAGCACCACAGTTTCTTTAGAAACTTACCCCTTTATTCATTTGATATTACATTGATATTGTAAGGAGAAATTCTTTCTTTGTCATTCATAACAGTTTAGTGAATGTTAAATTCTTTCATAACTAAAAGCATTGCAAAATAGTTGACTTTTTGCATGCATTTATGAGCCGTAAGTCAAGCCTCTGAAATGTTCCATTTAATTCAGATGTATCTCACAGGAAAAACATTAACATGGTTGTACAATTTGTGGTGAGTTTGATTAAAGGGATAAACTTACATAGTCTGCACCAACTCCCAAGCCTGTAACAAGAGCTAGGTATCTGCAAAAAATTTTATAAAAAATCAATACAAAATTTGAGTTACACATGTATATAGCAGAGCAAAGCTTCAACTATTGTACATTTGGGGAGTGTCAAAGTCTCCACATAAAACTGTGCTAGCCTGTAAGACTAACTTTCTCCAGGACTCCAAGGAAGAGAGAAAACAAAACAACATCAACAACAAAAAAAAAGGCAAAAGTTTTTAAACACCCAAGCTTTTTGGATAAATCATTTGCCACCCAGGAGAAACAAAAAAAGTCTTACCCACAATGTCTCCCCATAACTTCAAGGACAAAAGTCCTCTGATGGCTGTAGACAGAAGTACAAAACTCCAGTCAAACAAACATTTTTTCATAGGTGAAAAGCTTGAAGTTACCTTCTGCTTGATTCAAAGAACACAATAGACAACAGAACTAAAAGCCAACAAAAGCGCAACAAAAAAAGACCAAAAACTTAAATTCATACCTTGAAGCTGTTGTTGTAATGGCATCTACTGCTTCAAAAATCCTATGAAGTGCTGAATCAGCTCCAATGGTCATATCAGTGCCACAGAAATCATTGTCAATTGAGCCAACCTAAAAATGAAATATTGCAGCACAATAATGAACCTAAAATGACATTATGCAACACAAAAATAATCCTTAAAATGTAGCCAAATATTTTGGCAGGAGTCTGCAGCATCACAATTCCTTGGGAGAGCATCATTCAGACTCTGTTAAGAACACAATGTTCTCTTGGCCCCAAAAAAGAACTTCCCACCTGCAACTCAGAACTGTACAGTTGGAATGAAATTTATTTAAGACCCCTGAATGGAATGATGTCAAAAAGTAACTATATGCTTTTGAAGTTTAAATCTACATTAAAACTCAGTTCATATATATTGAACAGCATATCTGAGGAAAATATGACTTACCATCCCTACTATATTAAGGTGATTATTTTCTTTCGCCATTTTTTCAGTCACAGCACCTGGAAATACAATGATTGATTACTATAATGATAATTAAATAGGAATATAAAGCAATACTTACATATTTATAAAGAAATAAATAATCTAATAAAATAAATGGAAAAATCAACTGAAAGACCAACTAGTAGATATCCATAAAATGGGTAACTTTTTCACAAAATGTGGTGCTGCATTAGTGGGTATAGTACAGTAGTATAGTATAGTACAGTTATAACTGGGTAATTTGGTATTATCAGCTGAGTTGATAAATGTAAATTGCCACCATAAAGAGGTTCTTCTTGCAAGCTGACATTTTGTGCATTTGCCCTTTGTCAGAGCAAAAGTTAGGCAAAGGTTACCACTCAAAATGCCAGGTTAGAAACTCTTTATGGTGGCCAATTTATATTCATCAACTCAGTTAATAAAACCAAATCATCTTGATAGAAACCCAGCCAGACAGATAGACTGTTCGTACATGCTGGCAAGCAGGCACACAATCTCTGACAGACTGACTGACTGACAGCTTACAGACAAATATTAAGAAGGTTGTTACTAAAACCAGGAAGATGACATGGGAGTCGATACAAAAACCTGACTTCTTTTGCATCTGCAATATAAAGTGTAAATCTCAATTTTTTAAGTCAAAGATAAAGTCCAAAAACCTACGATACAAACTTCATTTATCGTCCATGCTGTTTGTTGTAATGACCAAGTTTAAAGAACATTTGCTCAAAACTTGATTTTCAGATCTTTTTCCCATGTTTTCATCTTTCATTATGAACTGTTATGTGAATTACTGCAGCTGCAGTTTCAGTCCAAGACAAAAAATTCCCTGCTACTTGTTACCCAATCTTGGTTTTAGTAACATCCTATTATGACAGCCAAAAGACAAGCTAACAAAACAAACAAACATGAATATGAAAGTGATCTTCCCAGTAATGAGCACTACTTAAGCAGTAGTGAAGAGAAAGCCTGGGAAAAAATTCAGGCCTGTACAGGATTTTTCTTTTTTTTTTCTTCTTCAGGCTTTCTTTTCACTACTGCTTAAGTAGTGCTCATTACTGCAAAGATCGCTTTCATAATCATGTCTTTATCCGCAGTTCAAATATATGACTTTCATATATTCACAGCCCTTTAAAACAAACAAAGTTGGAAAGGTAGACAAATACACAAAAAATACACGAAATAAACTTTTATTTACATATAGGACAATAGGAAACATTTAACCACTAAGCTCAATCTTTTGCTTGATAAGCAAACAAAAACTCACCAGTTTCTACAAGTTCTTCTAAAAGCTCTTGCCATTCCTGTCTGAACAGATTGGCCCCTGTTAAACTACCATCACCTCCAATAACAACCTGCAACAAAATAAAATGGAATTTTCTCAGTGTATTAATAATAAATTACTCCTTTAAGTTTCACAGAAAGTAATGCATGTCTAAGAGGATGAATACCAAATTGCACCTTAATGAATGACTGTATACTTGACTGCCTTAAAGTCTAAAAAATTACATGCACATAACAGTTTGACTGATTGACTGACTGACTGAATGACTGACGGACTGACTTACTGTCTGACTGACCAACTGACTTCCTTAGCAATTAATTGAATTGACTGACTGATTGATCCACTGACTGACTGCTTGCCTGACAAAATGACTGACTGACCATACAAATAACTGAATGACTGACTAACAGACTGAATGACTGACTAATTGACTGATCATGACTGACTGACTAAATGACTGATGTGCAGATTGACTAACCAACTGACTAAACGAGTGACTGACTGTACAAATAACCAAATGACCGACTAATTAAGTGACTGATGCAATGACTGACACACTGGCTGACTGGCTGACTGACTTGGGTTAGAATTCAATGTCAGACTGAATGCCTACATGACTAAAAGATTTTATTACTTTTTTCTTCTTTTTTTTTTGGGAGGGAGGTTTGAAGGGGGGAAGGGGTAGAGGGAGTGGGGGGGGGGTACTACAACATAACTTGGTTTATCAACTAAAGTAAGTAAATGGCCTGCCAAAGAAAGTTTCAAAACCTGATGTTTCAAGCTTTAGCCCTTCATCTGAGTGAATGACATAGGGCTATTAAAGGGCTGAAACTCAAACAGACAGTTTAAGAAACTATTTAAAGGGGCAAATTCATTAATATCATGGCCGAATAAACCAGCTGAATTGTTTCATAATCACACCAAACAGTTAGCATACTTACTAAATTTGTTATGCCTAAGGTCACCATGTTCTTAGCAGCTGTTAAACGACCTTCACGCGATCTAAAATCTTTACATCTTGCACTTCCAATGACTGTTCCTCCCTAAAATTAAATGAATATCAAATAATTAATGACTATCAACAGTGGAAATTACTTGTCACTACGATAACTTTATCACTCTTTCTAATCAGTATAAAGAGTTTTGATGAGGTAGACGCAGAAGGAAAGCAAACATTATGACTTGTATGCAATACATACCAGGATCAATGATCACATTCTACAAGCCTAACATCATCAACCTTACTTATAATTCAAAGTTTAAACTCCTTATGGCTCATTTCCCTGCACAAAATAAAGTATATTGCAAAGCAATACCAGTAATACTTGCTACCCAAACTGGTTAACCCTCAAACTCCCAGAAGTGATTAATATGTATGATATCCATACATTATCCAGCAAGCAGATAATGAGATTTACTCAAGCTTATCAGGTAGAAGTTGTTAAAAAGATCTAATACCAAATTCTGGTAATCAATATACAAGGAAATGTGCAGAAGCTAGAGGGGAGAATTAACAGTCAGATCATGGGAGTTAAAAGGTTAACACTTAAACTGGGCTCTCAAAGAGCTGAGGTTACAAACCATTTTTGTTCGGCAAAATAATGCACAAAATGTAGGCCATAAAGTCAAAACGTAATGTACCATACAGATTTTCTCACTTACCATTCAAATTTGTTGATCGTAATGATGTTTGTACCTACAAGGTAGTGCGGAATACATGTACCTACCAGTTGAATGATACCAGACACTTCCTCCCATCTGACTTCTCTGATGTTATCACCCCCATCCACCAATCCCTGATAACCCTTGGACAACAAAATCATAATGGTATGCATATTATGAAAATGAGATGATTAAAACTATACTTTCATAGTGGGTAACTTAGTGTATTACCACACTCCCCGAGTGGGATACTGATGATTTGTAAGTAACACGTCCAAATCCTTCCCCTCCTCACCTCTGCTGGCATTTCATCAGGTTTTCCTAACAGCTACAGTACCACTCAGATATGTGTTATTACTGTTTAAACGCATTTTATAAGTGCAGATGCAGTTTGTCAGACATGCATATATGATATTCATGCATGCAAGGGCAAAAGACGTGCAACTTATGCGTCTTTGTTATTCAGTGCTGTAAGTTAATCCTTTGTGCTACATTATTATGCAAAATAAAGAACTTTTGGGTTTCAAAAAGTGACATCAGTCAACAACAGAAAAAGACCTAGCTCATATGAACTAATGAGGCCGATGAGTCAAGCTTAGGTTGGGTATATGAGAAATTAGGACACACATATTTTTATTTATCAGCACTCACATGCAAATTAAGTGCATTTTATATGCATTTTTAGGGTTACCTATATATATATGTATATATTTGAGCAGAACTGTTACTAATACTCCTTTATATCACTGGGTATAGAGAAAAAGTGTATCGCGCCTAAAATCACAGCACACTGAACTAGCTAGGTTTAAAAGCACTGAGGACCTCTCTGCTTTGAGTTTGGGGTGCAAGGTACTAAATTAACGCCTTGCACTCGCATACATCTGTGCATTTTTTTTTTTTTTTTTTTTTTTTTTTTTGAAGACCTACCAAATCAAGTCAGGAAATAAAACCTACCTCCCACACAGTAAAGACCCTGGCTCCTGCATAGATACCCATCCTAACCACAGCTCTGATGGCTGCATTCATCCCTTAAAAAATAATGTAAGGATAGTAATCCATTATATGCATATCGTATAAGTCACACATCCATTAAAATTATTTTACACAAAGAACTAAGATATACTGAGTAATACACACACTTGATTGATTCCTACATATGATCTATTGGAAGACAGATGCATTGTGGTTTGATTTGTCTACAGTGATTTTGTACAAAAAAAAAAAAAGAGATAAGTTTTTTGTTTCAGAATATTACTCCTCAGAAGTTTACTTTCATAATTCAAAATTTCATGCACTCGATCTCATTCTTCTTACTTGTGTCTAGGCAAACCAAATATTTGGCACTCTTACTAATTTATGCAATTCAGTATGTTGTTTTGATCGGTGTCAAATTTAATTTGGTAGATTTCATGTACTTAATTGCAACTCATAAGTACTGTTTCGAGAAACGCAAATAAAATGGATTCCATTACAGGAAAATAAAGGTTTTAACGATAAATTTACTGAATAACTGACACCAGCTGCTCCGATGAAATCAAATTTTCCATCGATTGTAAAAAAATATCGAACAGCTCAGCTTGAATTGATGTGACTGACCAAGCAATAACGTAATTCGTACCGGCGGCACAGATCGTTTGCAAAATAAAAATGTACTCCTCAATGACAAACATTAAATCTACGAAAAATCACAACAAAAAATTATTAAAATCTTGAGAAAAGCTTTCCAGTAATTAACACATCGCACAATCTGGAAGAATGTAAACACTCCCTTGCATACAAATTTTATGTAATATCAACAAAAGTAGATATTTTTCAGGTGGAGCAAAATTTAGCGTCTGAGCTCGAAAATGAGACATCAAAGATATTCGAAGACAAAATTTAACTTTTTCATACCTTGTGCATCTCCACCGCTTGTTATAACAGCTATACATTGACCGGCTCCTTCGACATTCAGCAAAGTTGGCAATCGAGTTCGTGCAAAAGCTTCCCTCTTGGCGGCCGGTTCATCTGTGTCAAAATCGAACGAAACATCTTCGGCTTTTCGCTTAAGAGGTTGTTTCCCGGTACCAGAAGGGAACATGAGTTGCTTTAGCCTCTTGGTTAGTTCGATGAGCAAGTACAAAATTACTTGAGACATTATTGTAGGTAATGTTTACAGACTTTACCCCAATTCACCCAGACACAGACCCCGATACATGCAGCACTGCACGGATCGATGCAGCGCTTTAATGCTTTCTTCACGGTCAAAAGGCCCGCGATTTGTCGGCCTGCGGAAATTCTATAGTGGCGATTTTTGCCGGAGTTTGGCCGATTCCTAGCGAAGTCTTACGGAAGTTGGACAGGTGTGTAATCAAATTTAAAATTCGCAAGTAGAATTCTCCTCAAAATAAAAAGAAACATTATTCCTTCATAATCGCCACGTTGATTTCGAAAAAGGTACGCGTTTCAAATGGTTTTAAGGGCAATACGCGCTAACAAACAGAAATAGCGTAAATTTTAGGAGATCGGAATTCAGCGTCAAAAGTACCAAAAGCTTCAACCCTATATTTTTCCAACATAAATAATACACATCAGATATAAATTTTGCACCAAATTAATAACTAAATAAGAATCAAATACCTTGCTCTCGTTTTGTTTCCATTGTTGCTCGGCTGCGAGGCATTCTCCGGTCCGATAACAAAGTTATTAGGACTATAAACAACTGATAGTACCTCAGGCTGTACAAATCGTCGCTTCTCGGTGATAGCGCTTCTCCAATGTCGAGAAAGTCGTTTTAATCAAACCACTAAATACAATGTTTTGAGGGTAAGGGAAAATTAACGTTTCTTCTAGGCCATCCAGGTCGAGCGACATTCATCGAAAATTACCATGCACCTTTCGCGTAGAAAGTGCTGTATACACTTTATGTAAATGGAAGAAAGGTGGCTAAGAAAAGGATGACAAAACAAACAAAAGATCCACTTTTACATTTAAAATAATTACCTCCAGATGGAAGTGAGACATTAACATATTGGCCCCTTTAAATGTCAACTTTCAATATCCATTTTTCAAACACAGTAAGCACGATCAAGACATAAAATCAAATATTTAAAAAAACTGCATTTTCATAGGAACTGAAGAAAGATATGGTAAATGCCAAAGTTTAAAAATGTCATCCGATATCATCTGTACTACGATTATATACATGACGTATTTTCCTTTTATTCAAAATGTTTGCAATGACACCTTGAATTGACAAACCATGGCTTCCCACTGTGAGACTAGTAATAACACAATTAATTTTGGATACAGAATTAGTTTTATACTGTTCAATAATTCATAAGTCTTTTTCCCCGTACACACTTGGCAGAAAATTGGGCTTGGACCAAATGACAGTACAACGATTTTCCAACCGGGGTGGACCGAACATTATTTTGATCACCTCGGGAGTAGATTTTAAGGGGCAAAACAGTCGACCTGTTTATGTCATTGTGAGTACTTAACCACGTGCAACCTAGTAGGAAGTAAGTTGAGGTCTTCCGGTCCTAAATACGTATTACCATGAGAATACGTAGGAGGGGGGAGAATGCAGTGGGGCAAGGGGCTTAGGCCAGGGGGCCTTACCACCCTCTACTTTTTGTGGGGAAGACATTTATTTTATTTTAGTATTAGTTACATATAAAGAGTAATTGAGAAAGAAAAATGAAACGAAAAAAGTCCGGTTTTCCACAGATTATCCCCGACATCGCGATTTTTTTAAATTTTCTTGAGAAGAAGGGGAGGGATGGCCCTGACGTCCCCTACAAACTAGCCCCATCCCCCTTCCCCAAATAAAAAATAGGCTCCCTGTCTCTAGCTTATTAACCCTCTTCTTTACTAACGAAAACTGGTACGACATAAATCGGATTATTAGCAAGCGGATGTCTTTTTTACTATTTTGGGGCTCAACACAAACGTATTCGGCAAGGACGGTTGAAAATCTACACTTACCAACTCAAAGAAAAGTGGTTATGTTGTTCGGTGTCTTACTAGCAAAGAAGAAACTGTCTCCAATTTTATTGTAATCAAATGGCGTTTTGCTTGTTGGTAAAGGCCTCAGAGTGAGGATTTTAGTCGTTGTATCAGATACCATAGTCCACATCGTCTGTTATAGCTGTTTTGATTAAAAAATTCAAGTACGAAATGAACTTTGAATGTTTTGTTTCACACTCATCCTCTGATTGGCTAAAATACAATGGGTGGCTCCTGAGACTGATACAAGATTTTCAGACAGTTTTAAATCTCAAAAAATTATTTTCGTTTGCACTCTTTTTGGATTGTTTTTGAAAATAATGCAACAGTCTTTAATTTCAAGAAATTTATCTTTGCCCAAATTGTTAATCTGGGAACAGACCCTCACTATTTGGACTGCAGGGTGTTTGATTTTCGCCGGTGAGAAAATTTGAGACGTGTAGTAGCTTTTCTTTAACACTTTGATATCTAAGAGTGACCAGTATCTATTTTCTTCTTTCAATATTACCCCTGAATGACGCATTGAGGTCATGAGAATGAAGAAAATGATCACCAAATTAACAAGCTCTTGACTGTTTAACAAATTCTCCTTGTCAGCACCCTTGGAAATGTATAGAGAACAGTATGGAGAATATGCACACTGATGTTATTGCGTAAAGAGGACGTATAATAATTATCAAGTATTTTTGAGTTTACATTATTTAAATTTATCCCGTAAAAATGTCACGGGAATCAAGACGGAACTAAGGTGCAACGAAATTTTTCCAGGTTTGAAAGTCCACTTTGCTTCCCCCGCGTAAAAATATCTACTGTGATAAAATGACTTGCGTTAATATCCAAGATTATTCTTGATCTGATTAAATAAGATTTGAAACTTGTTCAAATGGGGTATGGCGAGGCTCGGTTCGTGGCGCGCTTTTTCAAAAATTCGTGAAAGAAAGCCTCCACCCGCTCTTGATCTGACGTGTTAAACTTCGTTTTTGGATCAAAACTGTACTCGCATAGGGAAGAAAAAAGTACTCGACGATTTTATCTCCTAGACATGAATGTCGATAAGTCATCTTGAAGCTCTAGATCTGACCTTCAGAGTGCTAAATCGAGCATAGCTGGGTTATCTTAAAGAAGCAGGTGGCGCGCACGAGCAGTGAGAACGCCTTCAATCAAATGTCCCGCTTTGCCAGGTGTTTGTCTTAATCTCCTTCCCAGCCCTCCCATTCCAAACAAACTTTTGTTTCGACAAGGAGACCACTCGTACGTGTTTGGTGGTACTTAAAGGTTGTCAGATCGTTTCGTTTGCATCCACTACATGACATCAACGTGATGATAGCCTAAAATTGCCTTAGAAGCACAGGAGCTATGCTCACAGTGAAAGATCTATAAATCAGTAGCTTATCACCACTAATAGAATTGCAACCGAAACTCCAGAACGTATAAACTTTTTTTTTGGTTGTAGATGTAATCTGCTACAACGCGTCATAACTAGACATTTTGATAGAACAAGTAGCATTACCTCCAACTTAATCTATTTCTGACGGTTTAAAAAATTTTCTTGAACTGACGGAAGGGTCAAATGAAAAGCTTCCAGAGAGCTCGAGCTAGTACACTTGAATTTACGGATAGAACTTAACAGCTTTTTCTATCGAGAAATGTTATCTCGAACCGCTACTTTGAACTATTCTACTGAGGACGTATATGTCATTTACAATGTTTCAGGTCTCTTTGGTCGCGAAGAAGAACGTTTTTCTCGAGGTATATCGTCCTTTTTAAGATTGAAATCGACAATTGGTGGCTTACTTTCAACAACATTGTTCTCTTTTTTACCGTTTTCTCGGGTTTCATTATCGTCAAATGTTTCGTTCGATGTCTGGACTTTAAATCCTTTGTCTAAATTATCCTCATCTGCACAATCCTGCAGAGCGTGATTCGACTTTGAACAAATGTTTTTCCCATTTTCTCCGCAGTTTCGCGGTGTCGATCTTTGTCCATCTTTCCACTCAAGTGTCGTGTCGTCTGTGCACATAGAGTCCCTTTGATCGAAATCCTCTGAATCTCGCCGCTGTACAACTGGAATCTTCCACTTGACTGTTTCTCGTCCTCTTTTAGAAGACTCCCTTCGTACTATACTCCGTAATTTTTCGCTCGGTTCAAAATTCTCTCTTTCCTTCAGAGAGTAAACGCTATCTCGGGTTACAGGCAGATTGCGACCACTTATAGAGGCCTCCATCTCTCTGGCAATCACCTCGCTGATCCATTCCATATTCTCCTTACATTCTTGAGATAAAATTTGCAATTCCCGCATCTGCGTCTCGCTCAAGGCGGATCCGCGGGAATAACTGTCCCGTACATAGCTCCCGCGACGCTCACAGTCGTATGGAAACTCTAAGTCAATGTGAATTCCTTTTAGACTCAAGTCCAACCGACTGTTCACGCATCGTTTCCGAAATCCGCTGTTCTCGTCTGCATATTCTAACTTTATGGAGTACACGGATTTATTTCTGCGCTTGCGACTACGGCGAAATAAAAGGAAGGCGCTGAAAAAAGCGCACAAGAGAACGCTTGGAATGATGGCAACTATAATAAGGAGCCTAATTTGACCGAAATTTGTTGATACTGCTGACGGAGATTCTGTGGAAATGTTCGCAGGCGCTGTGGCTACTGTATCCGTGGATGGTCTCGTACGAGTTGGGAGCACTGCGTCTGTTTTGGTTGCTTTATAGGTTTTCGAGCTTTCACCAGGAAAGGGAACCTGAGAAAAATAATCAAAACAAAGATTGACTGATCGCATCTATTCTCCAACATCAGAATTGACAGACACCTCTACTGGCTGTTGGGTCAAATAAGTTCATCTATCTTTCAATTATAGTCGTGTAAGGGTACGAAAGTTAAGAAAAGCTGGTGTTCTGACGGTTTTCCTTTCTTTCCTTTCTTTAAAACCCTTAAAATGCCGAAGGAACAGCACAAGTCTAGTTCGACTCAAAAATCCCAAAACCTCTCTAGTTTCGTACGCACGACAAAACATGTTACGTCATTAAAATTTTAAATCATTTGAATTAACCAATGCGCGCGCGCCTGGAATTGAACAACTAAAATGAAACAATGTCCGTAATTGTGCGCACCAGGGCATAAGAGCCAACTGATTTCTTTTAAAGTTATCTATCAATTCCACAAATACAGATTGTTCAAAAGATAGAGGTGATCCGGTGACTCATCAATTCTCAGCCCAAATGTAAGGAATGAAATTTGAGTGATGGCTTTTAAACTGATTTTGATCCAATGCTCTTGGCCAATTTGTCTTATAAGATAACAGTTTCGTAAACCATGGTGGCCGATGAGTTATAACAAATTATATGATAAGCTGAATTCTTCACGTATTTTGATTGGCCCTTGCTTAAGATTAATTGGTGGACAGGCGAATTGATGACGTATATATAGGTTACATATATTTAAGTCCACAAGGTAACCAGGTGGACAATCAGACATGATTTTATGCTACTCTGGTTTAAAGATTTATAATGAATGTAACCGAGAAGTTACAATTCATAGAATCACTGAGTCTATGAATTGTAACTTCTTGGTACCATTCATGAAATCTTTAAACCAGTGTAGCATCAAACCATGTCAAATAGATTATTTGTTGCCGTAGGTCTGTACAGTTATAGATTACAGAGGACGTCAAATTGTGTGCGCCTCCTGTGCCTGTTTTTTGGTTTTACCACATTTTGACGTCGATTTATCTGTGATCTATTACTTAACAGGCGCACGCTATAAGTGCTTTTTACTATCACAAAACTTTGATTGTGATCTGGATTAACACTAATCGCTTTAAACGATGAGAGCTGCTAGATCATGCCAAATTGATCGCCAAAGGATTAAGTATCTACAGAGCCTTTCCGGGTATTCATACGCTTTTCGAAGTTCTCTGATCGGCTTCTTTAGTAGGCCTAAATCATGGTTGGAAAGCAGATATCGGCATTACCTCATCTTGCATTAATCTTCCTAAGATTTGCCCAATAGTTCATCCAGTTTACATCTTACAAAAGAGTATTCTGGAGCGAAGTGACAGCGCTCACCTACAATACCACTTTGTGGTTAATTCGATTGCCAGTCCGAGGGTCTATCTCTCGATCGAAAGCTTTGCGGGCTCGAAGTGATATTTCCAAATCTAATTCTAGGAAATACAAGCATAAATCGAATGGTGCCCTATCACAATGTAGCTATCTGATTGGTTACGCTACTCGTTGTCTATTCCGTAAAAGATAGAGTAGAATTAGCAGCCTAACAGTGAGCCGTTGTAAAAAAAACGAAATAGAAAAAAAAAATGGGCCTGTCTTGTTGTCAAGATTTAGACGACAAGCAGATTTATACTAAAACAATTAGATTATTCACTCTATGCGTGATAGTTGATTTGGGCTTCGCCCTCATCAATTATCACGCGATAGAAATCTTAAGCTTACGATCTTGTTGTTACAGTGGGCACTGGTTAACAAAAAAAATTAATAACCTCTCTTGTTGTTTTATTTTTGACGTATAGTAGATTATTTTTTTCTTCGAGAGTGTCTGTGTTATTCACCGAATAACCTAACTTTTCCCTTAAAATTCAGTAGGCTTGAAATTTACCATCGTCATCTCCATCATCACTGCGCAGAAGCATTACATATCGACATTTTTATCCTAACAGTATGCAGGATGTTGTCACCATGGACTTAGACAAAGGGCCGAAGTTGCTACGAGAGCGTCCGAAGTAGTAATCGGAAGGTCGTAAGTTCGACTTCAATTTGGAGCACTCACGGTTCTTTTTCTCAGCGTATGCCTGTGTCATGCACCGCCGAATAACATCATATTTTACTTATATGAGATTTATACCAAGAAAATCGGATTATTCGATCTCAAATTTCTGTGCGTGACAATTCATTCGTGCTTCGCCCTCATCAACTATCACGCGATAGGACTATAATTGTTAAGTAGTGCAGGTCTTCGCTCGTAAACCAGTTCATTCTGTTTCAAATCCCGATATTTCAACGATCTGAGTTTCTATAATGTCAATGCCTCGATCTTGAAAGTAAAACGGAGAAAAAAATCACATTAATGGGCTTTTCGAGAACGGGCCTTTGTTGTCACATGCTTATGTCCCTGCTCCAGAGGTTTTTACACTTTGATACCGGATTTTAAGGTTGATCCCACCCGCATAAAAATCAATACTCCAAAGTACAGATGCAGATCGACCCGGAATCAGTAGACGGAAACGCACTCCTTTGATGTGTCAGTGCTAATAAATTTCATCTGCTATCTGTTTACTCAAAGTCTTGAGTGACTGACATGAAAAAGGCAAGGTTTGATCGTCCATTTTATCTACTTTGGCCCGGCCCCTCTTCCCAACCTGTTATTACTGCCATTACTAATTACAAAAACACAACTGGAGATACTTACAATTGTTCCAAAGGGTATTTCTCTCTCCAATAAGGTAGTTGACATCGGTGAAGGGGAGGTCTGCAACTTGCTTTTATCGATATATGTTGTCGCGATGGACTTGGGGAATGAGATGCTGTTCTGATCTTTGGATGAGGTCGAACGGTCCACTTCTGGTACTTGGGAGAAGCTCTTTATGTGAGAGTTTACAGGAAGAGGACTTTCTGTAGAGGACGATGAAAGTTTTGAAGAAGAGGGAAGCATTTTACTCGCACCCCATGACACGCTCGCTGAAATTTGAGTCTGAATGGTAGTGGAGCTACTACCGAGTTTGTGAACAGAACTTCTCCTAGAAGACGGTCGAGAGAGATCTTTTGTACCAGGAAATAACGGAAATAATGTCGATGCAAATCGGCTCAAAGTGGAAGAAGAAAGAATTCCTTGTCTATTTTCGGAGGATATCGTCAGACCAACGATCCGAGGGGTGGAATGGCTCATACCAGCAAAAGGAGAACTTTTCCTGCGAGAAACTGAGGGAATATTCAAGCTCGAGGATGATGGAATAATTTTTCGTGTCGATGGTAATTTGCTTAATGAGGAAGAGGAGGAGATTGTGTAATTTTCAGTTTCTTTGCTTATCGTTGTAAGTGAGACCTGAAGGGTTGTAAGGTTTACATTTCCAAAACCACGACCCCTTTGGACTGGGGAAGAAGGTGTTACTTGTCTCGTCGGCATAACAGCCTTCCAAGAGGAAGTAGAGGTGATACTTGCAGAGAGGCGTCCCTGGCTGCGAATAGGAGTAGTAGAGGAATCTTTTGTCTTTGATAACCTTGAGCTTGTCCTCGTGAAAGAAGGATTTGAAGTTTGCAGAACTGTATCACGTAGCTTTACAATGTGTTGCGAAGACGTGGAGTGTTTCTGATGTATGATCTTCGAACTACTGTTCAAAAATCTAATCTCAGTGCTTTGAAAATCGAGCATCTGAGAAGAGGAACGGATTTGGTGGACAGTTGTTGAGATACTGCTGGACATATGACTCTTGGTGAAGCTAACAGTGGTTACTAAATTTCTTTTGTAATGCAGCATCGAGCTGCTCTGGACCGTCGATGATGAAGGAGTAAAACGTTTTTCTGACCTCAGACTTGAGGACTGGATATTCTGAGCAGTCCTTGAAGTGGACGTAGAAAGGGTAGTGGTAGTACCTGAGTAAGCAACAGAGGTAGGAGATGGACTTTTTCTTTGCCATACCACCGAACTGCTCTGTATTTTCGAGAATGAAGACGTAGAAAGGTCTGTGCCATGTTGAGAGGCTTTATTTTGAAAAGAGGAGGGAGCTTCCTGGTTCCTGGATAAGGAGGCAAAGTCTCTTTTCTGCATAATTGTAGAGAAGTTCGCACTCCCTTGGCTAATTCTTAAAATGTGTGGTCGTTGCGACGGGCTGGCTTTGAAGAAACTCTCTTGAGAGGTCGAAGATAAAGTCAAATCTGCAGATTGAACACTGGACTGTGTCGCTCGCTTTTCCGTCATCGCCTGAGCCTTGGATGAGGAAATTGAAGGTGAGTCTAAGGAAGTGGTTGCCGTTTCGTGTGGAGCGGAAAAGAAAGTTTTATGAAAAGGAATCGAAGGAATGTCTCTTGCAGAGGAATGTGAAGTATTACTACGTATAACGCGCAAAGTTGAAGAAGGAACTCGGCTAGAAAACTCCTCTGTGTAACGGATCTTTAATAACAGGGATTCACTTTCATCAATTAGAGTAAACATATAGTTTGCATCGCTAGAGACAGAGTGTTTCAATGATGGAGTTTCCGAAAAAGCCGTCGCAGCACCTGATGTATGAGGAGTTCGGTTTCTTTCTCTACTCCAAATAGAAGGTTTTACTATTGAAGTGAAAGTAAAATTCTCTTTTTCAGCTGAGGAATGCCCCCAAGAACTGGCCGTCATCTGAGGTGTGCTCGATGGCGAGGAACTTATCTGAGATAAATTATTTTCACTGGCGATTTTACTCGCTGTAGTAACCTTCGGCATTCCGTGAGAGGACGAGAGTGCTCTTACGGATGCAGTTATCATATTGGTGTCACATGTTCTCGTTGCGTGAGTCAACAAAGCACTGACTTTTACAGAAAATAAAGGGCTCGGAGCACTTTTAAGGACGTGTGATTGTGTGGTTTTGATATCCATTCTTAAGGAGCTTTGAAGAAGGGAAGATCTAATATTCTGCTTTGTTAACGAAAGCGATCCTTTTGTAAACAATCTGCTTCCGCCGACAGAGGTGCCACTATTGTTATCATGTCCCAAAATAGAATTTTCGTTTGAAAAATGAGCTGTTTGATCGATGAGTTTTCTACTTTGTAAATCCGATAAACGCGAGGGGTTATCTCCATTAGAATAATCCCCTGTTTGAGAGGAATCCAAATATTTCTTCATTTCAGACATAGAAGGGAAAAAATTAACTCGGGATGTGGTTGTAGCAATTTCCGGAATGGTGACGGCAGGCTTCAATGATACTGCTGACATATTTTCACCCACACTGGAAAATCCATTCAGGTTTTTAAACGAAGAAAAATTTTCCGCGCGACCCTTTGGTGAAATGTTTTTAAGAACTGTACCGTATGTGGGTAAATTTGTCCTTGACGGAGCGGTAACAACCTTTGATAACGAAGACAAGATTGGTTGAATTGTTTCAGGAGACAAACGCCCGTTTGCTTCATTGTTGTGCGATGAGTAAATCCCTGATTGTTTCTTTGTTTTCGAGGGCAAGGTTGTTGTAGTCCATTTCGGTACAGTAAAGAAGGACGAAAACTCTTTTTTATTAGACTCCACTTTGACGAAGGTGCTGAGTAAGACACTCGAAGTACTCTTGCTTTGCGAAGAATATATAGGCCCAGTTGCGAAACTCGGTGGCACAGTAGTGAAGCAGAATAATAAAGCTGAAAATTCAAAGAAGACACCATTTTAAGTGGTAATTATGCTTCAAGTTGATTGCGCTCGAAGACGAATCATTCACGCTCAACAACACAATTTCACCTACCTAGCATGACCCATAACTCCGACATTTCACAGCAACTGTCTGTTGACATAAATTCTTGAACAATGGCAGATAACGTGAGTAGAAATCTCCCCTCAAAATGATTCGTTCTCTCCAATTCCTCGATCACTTGGCATATGTGTTCACTACTTTCAACTTCACGGAGTGAAAGAAATAATCGCTTCTCTCCCACACCACTCAAAATTTGATCAACGAGACACAATATTTTTTTGTTGTATGACACAATGCGGTAGGAAGGCGGCATGAGATATTTGTAAACTGAGAAAAGCTAATGTGGTTAACTGTTGGATTGATTGACAAGCTTACATGGGACGGGCAGAAAAAAAATACCGAGCGATTTTTGCTAATTTTTCTCGAGACCACGCTATTGACATCTTTTTCATATAATTCAGATAGATTTAAAATCTTTTTGATTGTAACCTGACATGAAGGGTTAAATTAAGAAAATACTGTTTCACTGAAGAAATCACAGTTCTAATAACTAGGAATCTTTTGAGTTGTTTTAAACAGATTTCGCGTATTTTACGTAAACAATCAAACTAGTTTATAATGGCCCTAATCAGTGCAACCTTTTTCCGGAAACAAAAAAAGCGTTGTTTTCTTCAATTTGCTAGCATGATAGTGAAAAGTAAGATAAGATCTCATTCTTCAACAGTTAAATTGATCTCCTCAAGAAGTTTTAGGAGTTACTGGTAGTCTTAATGGTTGTTTATCCTATGAGTAATTTTACACGAGCAGTTTTGTCTTTATTCTGAAGTCGTTCGGCCGGAAAAATAAACTGATTTAATCCAATGAGCAATCTCTTTGTTCACCCTGCGAGCATTTTGTTGGTTACAAGCAGTCTTTCTCGTTTCTTGCACTGTTGTTGTCTTATTGCTCCAGACGTTTGGATCAGACGGGCACATAATGAGACTGATAAGCGACCAAACCCTAGATGCTCTCGACTAAGGGGGTCGTCGGCTTCTCTTATCTTGATCACAAAAAGCAAGGCCTAGGATTCTCGTCCGGGGTGGCCGCGCAATCTTGAGTAAAAGTCAGCCTTAGCTCAAATCAGCTTGTATTGTATTAGCAAGGTGTTCCTTTTCTTATCGCGTCAAAAGCCAAAAGGTCGCCTTTGCTAGAGCCCACTCTCCCCTCCCTCGTTCTTTACGGGAGGATCGAAGACGGAATCCGAGAAATCGGTAGGAATCAAACCTAGCGAACCAGATCAGATATTTTGAAGAAACTTAAGGCGTGGTGTAAGAGAAGAAAAAGAAAAAATTCATTTTTACCTTACCAAGTTTTGTTATTTCTACGCTATACGCATTGCGTGACACGACTCATCACGCATTGCATTCTCTTAAGAATTGCGTGACGAGACCAGAAAGGAAAACTGGTAAGAAAATCTCGGTAGGAGTCTCAGACGATCTAAGGATTTTATTATCAGGAAGGAGGGACAACCCACATGGGAAAGGCTAGAAACCACAAGGTCGTGAGTCTTATCATATAGTGAGATGTGGAAAGAGAAGGAAAAGTAGACAGTTACCACAAACTTTTGTAGTATCAAGAACAAGAACAATGATGCAAGACAACATTTCAGGCAAATATGGTTTCACTTAAATGTTCCATGCTAATTTCCATTGCCATGTTTTATTTTCTTTTCTTTTTTTGCGAAATCCTCATCCTCACTATAGCTTTTCCTCCGCGTCTGAATCTTCTCGGTCAATCCTGGAAGCATGGCAGAAAAGCGATCTCATATTTGCCACTCTAATGCTTCCGTTCCTACTGGCACATTTAGGTTTCTTTTATTTCTTTCTTTTTCTACCAGCTTTTTTTCTTTTTTTCTATTTGTGTTTTATGTAGTGTGTGCGCGTGTGTGGTACCTGGCCCTTCGACATAATAATTTATTAATAACTTAAGTAAGGCTTCCCTATCTTTATAGCTCTCAATGGTTATTATGGGCAGCCTGAACTTTCTAAAATCTTCATGCAACATGTATATATATATTTTTTGTATCATGTAAATTAATGTAGGGTACAAATTAAGTTGTGTTGTTGTCAAATAAAATTGTGTTGTTGTCTTTCCCTTAAACGCAAACGTAAGGCTCCTCCTCCCTCACCGCCACGCCAGCTCGCCTTGCTCTTCAAAATGGAACAGAGAATCAACTGAATCAATAGACTGTTACAATTAACTTTCCCTCTCCGCATTTTGCTTTTTATTCTCATTCCCCACAGATAATGATTGAAGTATCGAGATTTAGTCAAAGAGCGATTCGAACAAACAAACTAATATCTCAATTGAAAAAAATGACTTGAATGAAAAAATACTGCAAATTTTCTGCAATATTGCGGCCTGTGTGCCCACCCCCCCTCCCACGTGCTCTGAGTGACAACTCTCTCGTGCTGTTTTGACAGTTCCTGGCTTTCGACTGCTTCTAATTATAACTGTGCTTCCATGGCCACCAGGAGAATATATTACCACTTTTTGATGCTAGAGTTCATGATGATTTATGGAAAATGGATATTTATTTTTAATTTTGGTCAATTGCGAATTAGAAGTGCCAGAAAGTTCGAAAGCGTCGAAAGCGAAAAGGGTACTAAGTCGATCCAAGGTTATACCTCGACCCTGGGTGCCACATAAAAGTAGCGCAGTGCTCGATGGGCGTCCAAATCGCTAACAAACCACAGACAGCCGAAGCTCCAGTTGTGAGGTGATAATCTTGCAAAAATAACAGCAATGGCGAAAATATAAGAGTTTGTATGGGAATATTTACGACCGCTCTTAAGAATTAATAATAAGTTCAAATTCTCAATAAATACCTCACCTTACTTTCACAGTGCATTGCCCGTTTTTGAGCGCTTACTTTGTTTCAACGAGCCATTTTAGCCAGTTATCCATTACTAGGTTTACTACTCCTAAGAGAAAGAGTTGGACACCTAGAAATGGTTAACTCGCTAAAATGGCTTATTTTCAACCTAGTAAGCGCTCAGACAACAAGCGATGCACGGTGGAAGTAAGGTGAGTTATTTATTGAGGATTTGACAGTATTTTTACTTCCTAAGAGCGGTCGTAAATATTCTCATACAAACTCTTAAATTTTCGCCATGACTCCAGTTTCGCAAAACGATCATCTAACAGCCGGAGCTTTGGCTGCATGAGAAAAAACCGGCAAGGAAAGCAGGCAAAAGCATTCAAGATATCAATAGTTAGATTATTTTCACACAAAATTACAAATTCTTCGATTTAAAACAAAACTAAAGCGTATCTTTAACAATAAAAATACTTATATCGACTCGTAATTTTTAACTTAATGTAACACAACCACTCATGAGCAAAGTCACGTCCCAACTTTTGTTATAACAACCACAGGACGCCACAGAGGTCACTTTTTTGTTTAGAGGTATTCTAAAACAGTGAAATAGCGCCCACGATGGTGGGCGACCATGTGGGATTTAAACCCTTTGTTATGTAAACACTTTCTTTTTGACCCTCTAAATTTGCATACTTATTGAACACTTGAGTGAACTGCACCCTCCAGTGGTTGCATGGGTGAGCGTGAAAGCCGTCGATGCCGTTTGAAATTGATTTTCCGCAAATGGTTCTGGATTCTTTCTTTAGCGGGATTCTGGATGTTAACGCCCAGTATTCCGGATTCCAGAAGCAAAAATTTCCTGCATGGATTCCGGAATCCTTATTACCTTGCAGGGAGTGAAAAAAAAAAAAAAAAAAAAAAACGACTGCTGTATTTTAAAAATGACTCAAACCATAAAGGTTTTACTCTATCGATTGACACTAAAACTATGATTGATATTTAGCGCTATCACGGATCTGCCTCAAAACACCAGCGATTTATAATTTGCGCTTACAACAATGTTTGATGCAACAACACAAGCGGTCGAGGTTCAGCACTAACGATTAACCTTCCTAAAATGGAAACTAGATTGATTTACGATAACGATTTTTTGCCACCACTGACGCTTGAGTTTTATCACAAGCGATTGATAATTTCGGCACAAATGGCTCCCAACAAGCCAATTATTCTGACATGTGACCAAATCAAACGACGTTTCAGAGGAAGGGAGCTTGGGAACCAGGATTGTCAACGTGGTTACGAGTAGACAGACAGACAGACAGACGTGTTAACTTTTTCCCGAACGGAAGCGAACATCGTGAGTACTTTTTTAAGACTTTAAACCGTCTGTTAACGACTTCTTCAACGTTTTATGTTAGTTTAAAGGGTGTTGTTGTATTTGATGTCATATTCGCGTGGTTTTCCCGTTGGCTGTCATGCAACACAGCATTGACTACATATCAGAATAGGCTGCGAAATTCTGCATTTATTTTGGTTTAATTTGAAGCATGAATCGGAAATTTAAACCTCGATGCTGCCTTTTCAGAAGCTTCCACAACTTGAGATAGTCGTTGGGTATTCTTAAAGAAATTATTTTTGTGATGATCAGGGATTAGAACCTTGAAAATTGCTGAATTACAGTTATTGCGCAAATCAGTAAGACCCGACATTGTTCGCTTGTGTGTGTATATACAAAGTTTGGCTTACCTCGAGCTCGCTCTTTGAGAATATTTAAAAACTAGATCCGAAGGTTATTATCATTATTATTATTATTTTGTTTTTCACTGAAACGGCATTTATGAAATTTAACAATCTCAATCCTGATCACCTTTTGAGGCAGCAGGCTTTGTTTATCCTTCATTTACTTCGTAAATCGATACGCTTTCAGCTTTCTTGGCAAAGACACAAACATACTGAATCATATCCACCAGCGTAACAATAAAACTCTGTTAAATTTTTTTTTTGTTCTTTGTCAGTTTGTGCTGTGTTTTTACTTTAATTTTTTTTCTGTATAGTATGGCATGATGTGATAGACAAGCCTGAATTCTCTGAAAAGACACATTTGCAGCCTTCTAACCTTTGAACCCCCAATATCTGATTGTAAATTCTCCCCTCTAGCTGCTACACATTTCCTTTTAATTTAGTAAGGAGAATTTATCGTTAAATCTATTTAGGTAACAAATTCTACTTGATAAGTTTGAGTATTCTGACTCATTACCTTTTTGCTGGTTAATCTATGGATATTGTGAAGAGAAGTGAGATACTGATCACTTCTTCACTTCTCCATACCCCTGTAGCGTCCATTGTTATGTTCAGGGCTTGTATACCAAAGAAATAAAATTTAAAAAAATTGGGGGCACCTGCAAAATTTCCTTTTAAAATTTGTAATCTGCTCATTGCAATCTGGCCAAATTAGTCCCCTGCAAATTGTTATAAACTGCTTGGTGCATTCTGGCTGAAGTCGCCACAAAGTGTTATAAAGCACATTAGAGCTTATTGGTATAATTACTTTATTACTAATATATATTTTTTTTATTTTTTCAATTATTATCGAATATAAATATACTGTTTTCCACTGAATACAGTTATTTGGCATATGTCTGCCTAAAAACTGGGTGTCAGCTTATTATGGGGTCTGCTTAACTCCCAAGAGTGACCAAGACAGAATTTTTCCTTACAATATAAATACAATATTAAGCAGATAAGTGATGAGAGTAAAGAAAAATATAAATTTGGGGATAGTGAGTTGACCCAAAACTAAATTCTCTGGACTAATATTATAAGAATTGTATGATTGAAAGTAAGGAGAATTACAAATTTTATCAGGGAGTTAAAGGATTAATATAAGCCTCACTTTAATTTGATCCGAACAGATTGTTACATGATGGTTCAAGCATGGTTTATGGATTCCTCTGATGAGGACCAGAGACTTCCACATCAACTGGATCCTCCACAGCCTGTCTCACTAGAGGATCTGAAGAACTGTGGAGTATTGTACTGGAAGGTATGAAATTTAGTGCAGGATTGCTGTGCAAGAGGTCGCAAGTTCAAGGCCTGTACTAGTTCAATATTTAGGGTCTTAAAATAACCCAGGAGAATGTGTTATGACATCTGCATGAAAGATCAACTGCTGTTTTATCTTGTAGCTGGATGCGAATAATTTTGAGAAGGAAGGAAAACTGGCAGAGATTCGTGAAGAGAGAGGCTATTCGTACAGTGATTGCATTACATGTACTCCAGAGAGGCTACCTAACTATGAGCAAAAGGTAGGAGTCTTTTCAGGTGGATAAATATTTCCTTTGGCTAAATTTTCATCCAAGTAGAGCCATTTAGTTAGCTCTACAATTGAGACCTGGTCGGGTCACTCTGTGGTGTTCTTGGTTAAACACTTTATTCTCACAGTGCCACTCCACCCAGAAGTATAAATGGGTACTGGAAAATTGTCAGGGAAGTCTAATGAAATGTTGGGGGGGGGGGGTAAAATTGTCGTGCACTGGCATCCCATCAGGAGGGAAGTAATAAAAATTCTTCATCAATCTATGCCAAGGAAACTGGGATTAGCTTCCCCTGGATGATCCACATGGGTCTGAACAAACTGTACCTTTTTTATATTACTTTAAGACAACTACAAAGCAATAACTTATTGCTTATTGCTTAAAGGCAATCATAGGAATTTGTATACTAACAAACTGTTGTTTATTACAAATTTTATGCAGATCAAGTCATTTTTTGAAGAGCATCTTCATACTGATGAGGAAATACGGTTTATTATGGATGGCAGTGGCTACTTTGACATAAGGAATTATGATGACAGGTGGATTCGCATCTTTGTTGAAAAAGGTGATCTGATCATTCTTCCTGCTGGAATTTATCATCGTTTCACTTTGGATGACAAAGTAAGTTCAGTGTCTGGCTTGAGTGTACACAGCATAAAAAAGAACATGTGTATGATAGAAAAAATAAGCTGGTGGCAGAAACCTGCCTGCTGCAGACCATTCTGCACCAAATACTTTGTGAATTTTGATCAAAGACAAAAAGTCAATAATATTGAACTGACTCTAACATCAAAGATAACTCAAATATGTATGAGAATAATGGAAATGATCACCAGGGAAGGAACCTTTTGATTGGCAAACAAATTCTCGTTGTCAGTACCTTAATAAATGTATAAAGAACCATGTGGAGAATTCTTATACTGATGTTAGGGTGTAAAGGGTTTTAAAAAATATGTATCTCTTTTGTTCTTATTTTTTTTTTCTCTACAGAACTACATCAAAGCCATGCGGCTGTTTATTGGTGAGCCAGTTTGGACTCCTCATAACAGGCCAGCGGATGATCTCCCAGCACGCTCTGAGTACCTGAAAAACATACAGGCTGGAATATTTTCAAAAGCCTAAAAAACAAACCTGTCAGCTTTTCAAGGGAATTTGAATTAGAAAATGGAGCTGGTATTAATGGAGGGACTTTCTAGACCTTAGGATCATAACTGTAGAAAACACTTCATTTATTTAAGGGACGCGATCATTTGCTATAGAAGTTCACAATGAACACATGTTGGAAACACCTTTCACTTGTTTGTGATTCTCTGTGTTTTCCTATGAAGTTTAAGGTTGGTTATGCTGTAGCGTGTTGGTTAGTTTGTTCAGGTCATTATTTTGTGTTATGGGAAAAATGATTTTACTCTCATAATGCCCCTGTGAAACTGTCTAGAAGTCAATTGTTCAACATACATTTATTTTAATGTGGTTTTAAAAAAAATGGTAATTGTGATTTGAGAAACTCTCGTCAGGGTTCAAGGTGTATAAATTATTCTGATTGGGTTGCTTAAAACAGAGTACAAAAAATTAGGGATGAAATTCAGTTTTGTGGCAGATGAAATTTCCCTGTCATTGATGTCCTTGTAACTCGGTTTAACTGTTTATACGGGAAATTTTCCTGCGCATCGACAGGTTACTCGCTGATCGAACCTGCACAGCAGAACGCTAGGGTAGTGCAAGCAACGCGCGCGAGAGATCAGAGGCATAAACTCCCTTCCCGCGTGTGTTTGTCCAAATCAGTTAAAGGGGTAAGTTTCTTAAGCAATTGTGGTGCTACGTCGGTCGGGCTTCTAACAACATGATTTGATTTTATCAACTGAGCTGATGACTTGAATTGGCCACCATCAGAGAGAGGAGTTTCCGCTCGAGAAATCAGCCTTACAATATCTATAGATGTTCAATTGACATAATCAACTCAGTTGTTAAAACCAAATTATTTCATCCGAGTCACTCGTGCGGTTAAAATGAGACAAAGGATATCGATAACTGAGTTGAGCCAGTACACAATATGAAACATCAGCGTAATATTTCCTGGCGGAAGTACTGGGGAGGAGAAATTTCGGAAACTGAACTTTGCACCGCACACGTTGTCTCGCTTCACTTGCTTCGTTACAAGGTTGGTCGAGCTAGGAGGCGCAACGAATGAGTTGGCAACCACTTCGTTCAATTCTTTCTGATTCTCTGACATCCTTAGCGTAATCTACAGCCTCAGGACAGTCGAATCGGTTTATTACAGTTTAGGATTAGTTTAAATTGTCACATCACTACGGTTAACCCTTACCAAGAGGAAAAATCAGAGTAATAGTTTGAACAGAGGACAAAAATCGTAACGCTCAGAGATTGGCCATTATTTATCCGGCCTAAGGGAAGAGTGGGGCGGAGGAATTTTAGGGGATCGCATGGTTTTCAGGGGGGAGCGGAGCGGGTATCAGTCGTCGGTAACAAAGTTTAAAGGGGGAGGGGAAATATTGACCCCCAATGGGTGGGGGGGAAAGGCCATGAGAGCACTAAAGAGCCTCACAGGGGATCAGTCGACGCTGACAGAGTATAAAGGGGAGACTATAAAATACGATGACCAATGAGAGAGGGGAGGGGTTAGTAGAACAGAGCCTCAGGGGAGATCAGGTGAATTTTATCGTTTCACAATTCCCTCCCCCCCCCTCCCTTAACTGATAAATTGTTACTAGTCCCGAACCAGGCTCATTTTGGTGCCAGAGGTTTTCCTAGCATTCACTGATATCATTTATCATGATCCCTCAAAATAATTTGGATCAAAGTTCAGTGGTGGGTCGTAATCTACAAACACACTGAGAGCTTTTATCCTGCCTGTTCAACCTCCTCTCGGATAGGAATCCATGTTCAAAAACCAGAATGTTTTATCGCAAGCCTCCATCTTTAAATAATAAATAAATTCAACTCAGAGAAATTCGATCATTGGAATACTTCAGTTTGTTGCAGTTTGTTCTCTTGACAAGACATGCAAGTAAACAAGCTTTGACTTTTTTGTTATTTAAATTCTTGCGTTGTATTAGAGGAAGCTGTAGTAGCGATTAAGACATTCTCAGTTGGCGCATGAAGTACTTTCCATTTGCAAGACTGGTTTTATTACTAAATACTTCAAAAGGAGAGTTTTTATTGTTTTAACAGTTTATACAACAGAGCTAAGTATGTCTTCCGGTATGTCATTCTTGTGCAATTAGCCTCCACACGATTTCGCAATTTTAAATTTCACTTCAAGGCTAAACACTTTGAAATGCAAAGGTTATTGTCTGAAGATATTGACAAACGACTTTTTCTGTTCACAGACGAGAAAGATGCATTAAAATTATTCTTGATGTTGGTGCCGCAAGAAAGTTATTCGAGGCTAACTTGAAAAGTAAACATTTTCAAACAATCCGAGTGTTCACTGAACTAGTATACAAAGGAAAAACAAAGTTGTTTGAATTCTCGGGAACGAAAGAAAATAAGATGTAAAAGAAACTTTTCAAAACTTTGAAAAACACTCTATGGAAAGATTCTGATTTATTTTATTTCTCTATAAGAAACACTTTACGTGACGATAATTTGAAATGACAAGCACGCCATATAATTTCCTTGTTCGGCTTGAGTTTTGTAAATAATGTGGAACAAGTTGCCGGAAAAGCAAATTTTAATAGCAGATTTCGTTCGAGAAAGAGGAGGAAAGAAGTAGTGGAAGTCTAGCTTATAAAGACGTGCATTGTTTGAGTTTTATCTAAATCAGGGTCATTATGACTAGATATCTTAATGAATTAAGGCTTTTATAAAAATCCAAGATTTCTTTGGCTGAAGTAACAATATAAACAAAACGATTCAATATCTACAAAGCTAAAGAGTTAGATATGCAAATTTTTCAGCACTCCGGTGGTTTCAGAACCAAACAATAACCGCGGCCAGCAGAGAGTTAGCGAGTCGTTTGTTATAAATAATAGTTTCTTGAGGACTTTCCCACGTAATTGGCTAGGAGGGCGCATAAACCCTCAGTTAAGTCGCCCACAAATTCAATAGCAAACAATGTTGGACAATTAAATCGTTCAGAAAACACGAAGTGTTCTAAACAATAGATTGGCCGCAAGGAATTATAATTTTATTCATAAACAATATTTACTGGCGCGCGTATGGACCGTTGCAAGAAATTTTAGAGTGCCGTGCTGCAAGGACTTAAGCGAACTGGTTTTACCCGTTCCTGGCTTTTTTATTGCTTGGATAAGCAGTAATCCTGAAGTTGTTGTATGATCACCGAGCACCGAATTAAAAGGTGGTGTTATTTTCGACGACTCATTGCAGGAAAGCAACATGGATTTCTCAGATTCGTCACCGTTCTGGCCTTCGCCGCTTGGTCCAAGAGTTCCAGATTTGGATACAAAACTTCGAAAAACTGGAAACCCAAACATGGATACCGCTTTAGCATGGTTGAGAGGAGAACTAGTGAGTACCTTTTGCTTCTGTTAACAGATATCATTTCTCTAACAACTCGCACCTTTGTGACATCGGTAGAAAATATTCTTTTGTGGTACAAGATACTTGACCATGGCTGAATTTTGACAGCCGGAACCAAATGATTTTTAGATCGACCATGTACATTCGTTCGCAGAAAACCACGATCGATTATGTGTTCGAAAAAACACAACGATTCATGGTGAAAAAAGTACTTCGCTGATCACTAGTCTGTATTCATTTTGCGCGTTATGTTATTGCAATTTATTTTCAAAGGTTTTTAATGAAGACTACACCGATGAATATCGAACTTTTTATCGCATTTTTTGGCACAAGAGATTTCTCTTTTAGTGTTTCTATTTTAATTTAATCTAGAATATTCTCAGACTCAATATAATCCATAGCCTGCAGGATACAAGGAAGACATATACTTCGTTCTTTCATTAACATGTGATATTTGAGGTTTGTTTAGGTCTCTCTACAAGCAAATAATTTATGAAACGACTTAAATTTAGTACCAAATGATTTCCGCAGATTTTTCCCGTGTCTGCTGTAAAAAGATACTTTTAATCATACATATTTAAGAAGGCTGATAGCGCATTTAGGAGTGTAAAATTATTCGGTAACAATAACTACTGTTGTATCTTCAACTTGAATCACCAAGAGTGTGAGTAAAAACATGTGTATATAACATCATGTTTTTAGCTATCCCGTTCGAGTGTTCGATTCATGTTCCTTCGCGCATGGCTGCTCTAAGTTTCGTGTTTCTGCGGTTCGTGAACTGACAAAGATCGCACATTCGAAATAACGCTTAGTGTAGAGCTAAGAACAGGAAAATTGTAGCCGCTCAATTTAAATGAACAAACCTTCCATTTCGATCGCGAGTCAATTATCTTTCCAGAAACTTCAGGGGTATACATCGAATGTCGATAGCGTTTCGTTCGCACAAAGAAAGGAATTATTTAGTCAAAACTTTGTAAATAATAATAAACGAACCGTTCACTGCCGAGAAAAGTTAACGAAATTATGAACTGTAGTTAGCTGCAAAAAGATGTCTCGGTCATAACAGTCAAATTGACTCAGTACATTTACATTTATTTAACATCACGCCTGGTTCTGAAGTTCCTAGTGCTACAACCAATTTCTTTTACGCTTTCTTCTCGGTCTAAATGTCCTTCGAATCAATATTACGAAAAGAACCTGCTTAAACAAATTCTTTTATGGACTGTGGAAAATATTGGCACGGTCAGACTATCATTTTTTTTTAATTTACATGTCTTCTTATATAGCGGTCTTAAATGTTACTTGTGACGTGCATTTCAAATACTTGCATTGCAGGAGCGATTTTGACCCTTAGGCAAGTCGTTAAGTTTACCAAATCAACCGGAAAATATCAAGAGCTAACGCAATTAAGTTTATTTTCAAACGCTTTATCAAGTTATCTTCAATACAACGAAAGAACAGCCACGTTGCTCACACTCCAAAGACATAACCGTTTTAGACTCATTTGCATTCAATTTTCTAGCGAAGATTTTTTGGGGTTTTCATCAAGACAGGTGGCAAAATATGGTGGTTAGGAAACTTTTGAATTTTATAGATCTTCTCTCCAAAGTCATTCTCCAGAAGTGGGCACTTAAAGAAAATTTATGTACATAACTCAGAGTACAAAGTAATGCACGTTTTGCCTCTTGGGTTCAACACAATAAATTTAGAACCGGCGATTTTTAGTTCAAACAGTCAGTGATTTTACACTGCCTTTATTTCAAATCTCTTTCTTTTCTTTTCTATCTTTTTACGAAGGAAATCAGTAAGAACTGATGAATCGACTTCCCCTTTAAGGGTCTACAGTTTTTTTCAGCGCATATCGAAAAGAAGGCGTTTGATAGATTCAAACCGCAGAAAACTAATTTTTGAGGGTAATATCGCTATTTATTGCCAAAAAAGCCTAATGATCATCTTTTAATATTCTAAAGAATACAGGGATCAATATTTAAAAACTCTGAATACTCGAAAAGTTATCTAAAAGTCATGAAATCTATGTCGTTATATTGGACACTCCACCCTCGTGAATGAATACAATTGTATGTTTCCTGCTGAAGAGGAAAAAATAAAACGCGGTATACTTTTAGATGTGGAGAGTATATTTAGCCCAATCACCTTAAACTTTATCAACAGAACTAGTATCATCAAATACCTTTCACTCTGAAGTATGTTAGTGCATAAACATCATTAAACACTCGAGCACGCAATAAATTACTTTTTTTAATTTGTTCATTACTGATTACATAAGTTTTTGTGTTGTTTTACAACCTTACTTAGGCTGTGGTAACCGAGTTGTAACCGATTTCTTTTTTTCGTGCATGCTGCATAATGCTTTGAAATTAGTTTTCCCGTTTTAGTTGGGACCATTATTATTATTTTTTCATTTTTAATTCAGGATATTAAAGCTTTTGTTTGTGAAGACAATCAATATCGTTTACGTGTATATTTCTTCATGTTATGCAACATGTCTGTAAATAACATTCGTAGAGATTCTTTGAGAAAAGATTCACGAAGCACTTCAAAATATTTGACTCGAAAATTGATAAAGGTGATGGGACAGAATGGTGCACAACTGAGGCAGGGATGGTACGAGGGATCAGACGCCTGTGAACAGAACAGAGACAAAATTTGACGATACATCGTAAAGCAGTTATATCAAAATTTTTAAAAAATTTAGGTAACTTTTTTTAAGCTACACGTATTTAAGGGTTAAAAAAAAATAATGAACTTTTTCTCACAAGTGAGAGAACGAGCGCAGTAGCTAAATAAACAGCGCGCCTAAACGCATACACTGTCCAGTTACACAGGAATGAAACGTCAACTGTCTTATTAGTGCTCAAATCCTGCGACTGATAACCAATCACGTTCGCGAATTTAGCTACAGTTCTGATTAAAAAATTAATCCAGAGGTCATAGCTTTAATCCTTATGGCAAAACGTACGTGCCTTGGAGGTTTATCGTGTGTTGACAAACTAAGGCTAAAATAACTTAAATGTGACCAAAAGGCTCCCATTAGCGCGTCTAATGTTGGATATTTGTACGGGAACACTGTCTGTTGTGAGATGCAAATAATCTATCTTCCCACAGGGACGCTCGAGAAAAACTGTGAGCCTCTATAGACAGGTCAAATATACAAGCGTATTTGCGAGCCTAAGGCTGTCTATTGTCTCTATCATCCTCCAATTTTTTTGTGGTACACGAAACAAAACATTTACAAACAGCTTACTGTGGAAAACGGATGTTGATTTTTCGGAGAGACTTTATAAAACAAATATGTCTGCCTCACTCCCTGTAACAAAAGCTATATGTTTTGCTTTCTTAAATCAACTTCTATATACTATAATCGAAGTGGACGCATGGTCCGAAATTCGAGAAATATTACAGACTGAATACTTATCAATTACCCCACGAGCGTGCGTTGGACATGGATGAGGCCGGCCCGTATATCTTCTACAAGCGCGAGTGGAATAACTTTTTATTATTAAAAACACCCTAAAATATAGATAAATCTTCCAACTTTATTTTTTAATAACGATCAGCATGTTACAATGTACAAAAACTCTTCTGGTGTAGCTCGCCTTCGTCCGCATGCAGGATATAATGGCTCATAACCAATGATGCATGATGACTAAGCCAATGAAATATCTTGAATAACATTAACCAATGATCCAGTTTTTAATAACACTTGATACTCCCCGTAAATTTTGGATACATTGGACAAAGTGACGCGTTTAAACCAATCGCAAAGAGGAAAATTTTTGATAGATCATAACATCGAAGAGATGATAGTGGTGAAGTGATTTCGAAAAACCGATATAAACCACAAATCCATCAAACGTGTCGGCGCAATATTCACATTTTAAGTTTTATTTTTTAAGCTGGAACCTCACCAAACTCGAAAGATTCTTTCAAAATCGCCAAATTCTATCATTTGATATTCCTATCCTTTCTAAAAATGTGATATGACCCAACAGCACCGAAATGTGTCGAGTAAACATGTTGATGCATAAACTAGAATGAGCGAGATACACCTTCTTTGTCTCCAGCGATATTTGCAATCTAATTTCCTTTTGGCAATCCGCGTCAATCAAAGTGAGAAGAAGAATAAAAAGGCGCGAAACATTTAATTTAATAAAGCAGTTAGTGACGTCTTTATTGATCTCAAACAGACCGAAAAGTTTAAGCCTGTCATTACGCAATTTACTAATCCCGTGGGTGTCGGCTTAATACAGGTTTCACTATGAAGCGAGCTTATCCAGCTTCCGGTGTTAAGTCCATGTGAAATTTGACACCATTCAGTAGCTCAGTAAAAGAAAAAGGTCCCATGTTTTTGCGTGTTAAGTTGAGTAGGGGCGAGGTGAGTAAGAGCACGACTCTTGGAATAAAGCTTACAGTTTTCCAATTACTATTTATTTACTTGTAAAAAAAAAATTTCTCCGTATGATGATTGAAGTTTGAATTGCTTGTCACAGGTTATTTAGGATGGCTTTTTTATTGCTTTACTTCGCGACGTGATTGGTCTAGAAAACTCACGCCACCTTTCAAATGCAAAACTAAGACAAACCGCGATTACGCACTCACATTTTCCCGCGCATCAGGCACATTATCGGCTTTAAATTCGAGCTCTCATTGGCTAATAGTGATGTCAACCTTCACTCTGATTGGCTTTTGTAACTGCTTGAAAATTGCTGTGAATTCGGTAGTAAGCTTTCACAAGCCTTCTGTCGCCATTCAGGTCCTAACAACAGGAGTTTATATTTAGTTGACGGTATCAGAAAGGAGGAAAAAAAAGAGGCCATGGCACGCACTGAATATAAACTTTATTGTGTATAAATATGGGCCGTTTAGATGAAAATGATAGTGGATGGCGCCTCGGTGACTTAAGAAAATAAACAAAATGATACAAGAAGACCGAATTGGAGTCATCAATATCCTTATCTAGAATTGCGGGAACACTGTCTTTGAGTCAGGATCGAATAAGGGCTTACGAGTATGTACAGTCACGTAAACAGCAGGTATACAGCAACACGTTAGTCCTTCGTCATTTGCTCTGACGGTGGCAATTATCTCTCCGTGGTTACATTTTCAACTCAGTCAATAAAACCCAATTATCCTGTAATATTCTCACAGACGCAGCACACAGTTTCTTTAGAAACTTACGTACTTTGTTCAGTGATTTAATGGAGTTGCGCATTTCGCTAAGTCATTTAATCAAACTTTGCAGGCGGCCATGCAGTTGCAAGACAGAGACATGCACAAACAGCTCTTGACAATGCGTTCAAGCATCTCCAGTCTCCGAGAGGAGCTTAAAACCGAGCGGGAGGAATGGGAATTAGAGAACCAACAAGAAGATACACCCGAACCCGAACCCGAACCCGAACCCACCCACGCTCGAGGCTACGTCACCAAAGTTGAAGTCGTAAACAACGATCGGGAAGAGCTCAGAATAAGTCACGTTAAACAAGATTCCGGGATCTTGAGCGATGAAGAACGAAGCGATGATGAGGAGTTAGAGGAGAGTGTACAAGAATTGTTAAAAACCTTTCCGCCACCCGTCAGACCTAGAAGCAGCTCTTTTTCTTTTTCTTCCAAGTATGCCGGTTACGGTGTGAAACGAGAAGAAAATGGCGGTAGTGAAACTGAGCGTGGACCCACGCGTGGGGTAGTCCGAGTCCGCGCGCGGAGTGTTGCGGGAATCGAAGTCGAACGACCATCAACCGACGTAGTGTCACCGCGAAATCGACCCCAGTTCTTTGCGGACGGAACTTTCAATCGCTTTGGAAGTATGCCAGTTATCAACGAGATTCCCGGAGACGCTCTACAACGGAACACAACCAGATCAAAAACTTTCGCTTTTTATGGATATCGTCGCCAACAGAGCGAAGTCGAAGACGACAACAGAGTGTCTTACCCTTCCCCAAAAAAACTACCTGTTGTATTTGGCTCACTCACGAGGCACGGTAGCATGCCCGTAATGCATAGCGGGGGACGACTGCGGTCGGGGACTGGGTCGAAAAACACAAACGATAATGTGAGACTTGTTGTCAGTAACCAGCCTATCAAAAGATCGACAAGTCAGATCGTCCTCAGCAGGCCAGCTTGGGATAAAGCCAGGGAATTTGAATCAAATCAAATTAGACCTTGTAGAGTTTATAGATCCACCAGTCAGGTCTCTCTCGTTTAATATTCTTTGCACGACAAGACTCCACTGAAGGGAGGAGCAAATTGCCGCCACAAAAGATTCAGTGACACTTGTTTTCCAGAAACCAGCCTATAACATAAAAATGTTTTATAATATAAAGATCCATTAGAGTAGCTGAGAGACCAGGATTAAAGTAAATTTTCATTTCAGTTTCAAAAGTAATCTGTGATTGCTTTGTTTATGTACAACTACACTCTGTAATGAGGTTCTCAATGGGGTGATAGATTTCGGCCAATTTACGGCAAACGGTTGATATATGTTTCCATTGTTCTCAAAGGAAATTTTTTACGGACATCTATTTTTACGATTACCGGTTAAAATTTGTCAATATTTACGCCTAACGGCTAAATTTTTTGGCCGTCCTCGGATAACGGTTAACCCCGTTATAAGACCCTCTGCGATTGGTCTAGAAAACATGTGCCACTCTCTCGAGAAATCAAATGCAAAACCAAAACCAATCCCGCGTTTTCCCGCGCTTTAGGCAGTTTGGTTTCTTTAACTCTGTCATTAGCTCTTACCGGTATTTTACTTTCTTCTGATTGGTCGTTTGTTTGTTTGTTTGTTTGTTTACGACAAGTCGCGATTGTTTTTAGTTTGCATCTGACTGATTGAGATTACTTTCGACACCCGAAAATTACCCTGTCATCAAACAGAAGCTATTTCGTTTCTGAGTGTCCCAAAGGGATCGTATCGAATATGGTTGCAACCATAAAGCGTCATACAATCCAACATGGCAGCGTGCACACAAATAGGCCATTTCCGGTATGTTAACATTCAAACGGCTCAGGGGCTTGGGGGAATAAAACAAAGGAAATCATATCGAGGTTTATGGATGTATAATTAATTTATTTTGTTTTATTGCCTCGGAGCCATGTTAGCATTTAATTACATCGAAAATGGTCCATTGCAGTCTCAAAATGGGTGATATTTGTGTCGAATTTTTCTCGAACTAACTGATGTATTTCCATTCATGCCCATGATGATCCTATTGAGTGATAATCAAAGGCCTTTTTTTCTGTAGTGGAGGCTTTCTCTGACATAAATGACCCCAATAGCTTAATATCAGCTCTTCCTTGCTCAAATCTTTTCCTTCTTAGGATCCAAACATCAACTTTCCGCTCTGTCTTCCATAGATTTCTTTTGGGTTTAATTTGAATATTTTGGTTTCCAATAAACACCACACCTTTATATTTTTATGTAAGAGGTCTGAATGGGGCTAACCACCGACGAAAAAGGGCAAAAAATATAATCGACAAAACGGAAGAAAAATATTGATCAGCGGCGAGTAAATACCAACCAACATCAGTCCGACATGGTCCGACATTAAACCAATATCTGTATTCAGAAAGAAAATAATTCTAGCTTAGCTTAGGAGGTAGCCACTCTAACTTAAGATCAAGGTTTTATTTTGCGGTTAACTGTTGGACATTGAATACAATGTGCGCGGAAAATTTCGAAATAAAACAAGCGAAGCAAAATGATGATAAGGGTGTCCGAGGTGAGTGAATAACGGCATGGATTCCTAATTCAGCCGAATGGAAGTTTTTGTTGACGTAACGAAAGCAAAATGAGCATCAAAATGGTGAATACTGATCGTTTATCGCCAGGGACGCGGAGGGGAGGGGGGTGTATTGGTTATGTCGCAATGAAATTTACCTGATCCTTACTAAGGCGCCGTAGTATTCTAGTGATCTCTCTCATTGGCAGTCAATTTTCTATATTCCCATCTTAATACTCATTTAACGAGGATGGCTCCCCCCCTCCTCTTCTGAAAACGTAACCCCAAAATCCTCCACACAACGCGGGTCCCCTCCCCTTTCGATATGTTAGTTAAAAAAAGTTACCTGCCACTCAAAAGAAAATAACTCGTAACACGTTAAATATAACATCGATTTCTTGAGTGTGGTGCACTTTATTTCAGCAACGTACACCGAATTTTAAAAAAAGAATCGATTACATTCTTGTATTTGGCTAAATGTTTATGAACTTCCCGATCCTTCCTCGTCTGGGAGAGAAGCGTTGCAATCACAGTCCGGATCTGTCACACCCCAGTCACAGGCACAAAAGTAACAAGGACAATATTCAGTCGCTGGAAGAATAAAACACACACAAAAAGTTAGGTGTTGATTTATTGGAGCGTAATAAAACGGTTTGGCAACGTTTTGGTTTAAGGCATCAGGATAGACTCCTCTTTTTTTAAGAAGGTCACAATGGGGTGCTGGCTTTTACGGCTAAAATTTTGGTAATTTTATAGATTACATATCCGGTTTTCGTGAAACTTTCCTAACCATTCACCAATGTACGTTCTTGAAGTAACGTGTCTGATCAACCGAGAACACAACACAGCGCCCGCCCCCCCCCCACATATGCATTCCCCCACCCCACACATATACATTCCCCCCGCCAGCGCGACGTTTCACTTGTTTTTTTCTCTCGCTACTCGCTACTCGCTACTAGGTCCAAAATGAAGCGACAGCCTGATAAACGAAAACAAAGAAACCATTCTTCAATTGGGTGCGAACATAAGAATTTTCCTGCTTGCGGCCGCATCTTTTTCTGGTTCGTTCTGTTTGCGTAATTACATATTAATTCACATGTTTAGAGACAAAACAATTTTTTTTCTTTCGTTCTCCTGCCATTGCAGACTCTCGCTCTTACGGACACTAAATCTCCCCCGAGGGTATCTGGAATAACGGGAGTCGACTGCAGTCTAAATTTGAGGCCTGAAAAAGTTATCAAGTCTTTAGCGGGCTTAGATCTTTGCTAAGTAGCTGCTTGTTGGGCGTCAGTGCTTACTAAATCACGAACCCAGGTGTTGGCGGCGAGGCGGTTTTGAAAGGTCTCTTTGTGGTAAACAAATACACAAAATCAAAAGGGAAAACCCATTTAGAAATAATTAGCATATAAATTTTCTTCCAAGAATCTTGACAGTTCTAAGGCATTTCTTAAAAAAATTCGAGTTGAACTGATTTAAAGTAATTCAATAACGTCTCCTGTCCACTTTTTGGAAAAGTTTTCATTCACAGCACAGTCTCTGAGGTGTTATTGTTTTAAAAAACAAAAGCCCCCATAGTTTTTTTGGTTTTTTTTTTTTTTTCAAGTCGATTCCCATGGGATCCAGAAGGTAGCTGAGATGTTAATTTTTCTGTTTGAGGACACAATTCAGTTGTTTAAGAGCTCTGTTAACCACCGCCCGCCTTTTTCTTCAAAGAAATCAAAGTGCCTATGACACGGATTTTTTTTGGGTACTCATTTAACTTATAATAGGTACAAACCAATTCCGATAGAAAATAAAAGGAAAAAAATTAAAACTCGTTTTTTTCCGGGCGTTAAATTGCTCTAATGTTGTCTTAAAAGTGTCCCGTAGACTGGTAACGAGTTAGCGGGTGATGACGAAGAAAACTGTGAAAACTCTCTCACATCTCTTGTAATCTTGAATTAGTCAGCGTTGAAATACTCTTGATATAATGTCCGATAGCGTTTTATACCTACCTTCATGCATAAATAGTAAAGAAGACATAAAAGTTGCGAGAACGGTTCAGCCTACTAAGGAGAGCTAAGTGCATCGAACGAAGATTACGCCAAGACTGACAAACACTGTTTTCGCAAAATCGTACTTTCAGTGCGTTAAAAAATTGTCAAGGGGAGCTCGCTAAGCGCTAAGGTCGATTATTTCAAATCTTAAATACAGCTATTAACCAGAAAATGCAAAAACAAAATTTCGTGTCATAGGTAATCTAAGGCGCTACTGATTTAGCATACAGAAGCCTTTTACTTTTGGCGCGCATCCTAACTACAAGATATTCAGTAACTTACCATCCTGCATCGGAATTATAGCTCTTTCGAAGAACCGAGCCAATGATGTTTTTCCTCCAGTCTTGAGAGAACGCTCTTTGGAGGAAAAATACAAAAAAAATTATGTAATACAAAATAATATCGAGAGAAAAGCGAGTCTTTTAAAAATCTTCAAATCGGAAGCTTGAGTGCGGATTAAATTTGAAAAACTTCAAGCTAGCACCAAAGAAATAAATCCGTGTGTTTTCGCGTGTTCAACAGAGATTCGAAATTTAGGTCCAGTTGTGAGCACTTGTCTAATTCAAGCTAATTCAACTTTTTATAATTTCCTTTGAAAAAAAAGGCGCGCAACTGCAAAAGCGGATTTGATGCAATAACAGTTCTATCTTCAAAAACTAACCTGGAGAGTCTTGCACATGCCTGGCATTTGGAATTTTCCGGGCTGATAGAATGACCAGCAGAAATGCAGTAACCACGAAAGCTACCAAGAAAGTTGATTTCATCATTTTAAGATAATTCGCTTTTGGTGGACTAGCTTCGATCACTTTCAGGCGGCGAAATGAAGTCGCTCAAGATATGCAGGGCTATATGTAAGCCGTAGATGTTCAATTACTTTTGTTTGGTTTTGTTTTTCTTTTGTGTCACTTTATCATTGTGTGTCACAATTGCATAGAATCTCTTGACCAATGATTCACTTTCGTCATATATGGCTCAGTAGTATTCTCATGAATCCCCACCCCCACCACCTTCTTTGGCAGTTGCAGTAGATTTTCTATAGTACCCCTTTATACTATATTGATGACAACTGCCCTCCCTTCCCCCTCCCTACCCTATGCGACAATGACCTGTATCGAAGAAAGTCAAATGACCCAAAATACCAATCGACAAAAATAAATTTTTTTGGATCGCATTATTATAATTACAGTTGAGTACAGTAGGGTTTTAGATTGATTGTTCTTGTGGCTGGATATCCACAGTTGTCGAATATGGTAAAAAAAAAAAAAAAACTTTGGAAACAAGATTTTTGCGGCTTTTTCTTTTCCCAGCCGTTTTTCGGACGGCAAACAGAACGTTCAATGGACCTCCAATCATTTTGAGCCAAGTGACCACAAGAAAGCTCCAGTTGTGGTTAAATAGGCAAGCGATATTACTTTAAGGACAAGTACATCCAGGACTTTAAGAGTAGACAGCGGGCAGAAATTGAGTGAGAGCTAGTATTAGTGTTTGCCAAAAAAAGTTCTTGTTTTGAAGCCTTGATGGCTTACAACTTTACACGTCCCAATGATTTATCACGTCACCATGAGTGAAAAAAAAGACAAAAGATTTTGCATGGCTACTGAGTTTCAACATGAAACGCAGTTACTTTGTTTTAATCATTCATTTTTTCTGGTTTTATGAACTATATAGTTGCATCTGGTGGCCATCACCAAACGGATCCATGCAACAGACAAAGACAAAGCCTAACTCCCAAAGGTTAGCTATTGTTTGCGTCATCGTTTCTTTAATCAAAGAAGAACTGTATGCGAAATAAACGAATACTAATCTGAAGATTCTCAGCTCACGTTTCATAAAGAACTTTCGGAAACTTTCCTCTCATAAAAGATCCTACAAAAATAGCCAGAAAAAAACACATCTGCGTCAGACGCGCTCTCAAGGGACATTTACATAATATTTATTATCTATGCAACAATAAATTTGCTAAAAAGCGTTTAAGTTATGCAAAAACAGGTCATAATTTGGTTACATCAACTGGGTTGATAATGTGAATTAGCCACCATGATAAATTACTGAAGATAATTTGGCTTTATCAACTGAGTCGCTTATGTAAATTGGCCACCGTAAAGAGTTTCAAAGCTGACGTTTCGATCGTTGGCCCTTCGTCAGAGCATAGTTAGTACTAACTACTAACTATGGTCAGGGCGAGTAAATGGTTAAGTCTGTTAAGTCTAAGTTTAAGTAGAGAGGTCTGGAACCGAGCACTCTGGTTTGGCTAAGTATGTCACCTAGCAATATTTTTGGACAAAACAGTCCGCTCCTTCAATGCTTTTATTTGTCATCCAAAGCACACTTTTTACCAGTACCAGGAACTCACAGCCGAGATTAATCCGCAAAGTACTGGACCCAAATATCCCATCATTCATCTGCTTTGTTGACTAGTCCGCCATATTGAACGGAGTGTCTAGTTATGCAACTTGTGACCCACGACTTAAAGAATTCTCTGTCGTTTACATTGTTAATTGAGATTTAAACTCTCATAGATCAACCAGAAGCCATCACCATGGCCAAGCCTTTAACAAGGTTACACACAAATAGATTGCAAGGTACGTTTTTAAAACAAGTAAAACTGTTATTGCGTGTGAAACACAACTGTCGATATGAGCTGAAGTGCTCTGAGACTACGACGGGATACCTTCGGCTTGGTTTAAACTTTGTATAGCTTTACATCGTGTAACGGAAGCTTTGGGCTTGTTATGGAATGTGATCTATACAACATCAACGAAACTGATTTTTTTATATCTGTTTCTAAATATTTAAGGAGGGCAGTTGCACTCGTTATGTCGAGCTTTGGTTAGCACAAGGTTGTCTTCCACAGCGGCTACTCCATCACAGGTTTGTTTCTAAGAGTTTTAAATACAGTTTTTACTTGGTTAAGTGCTATAGCACCTCTGAAATTTTGAGGGCCACTCTCGTGTAGCCCTGTGTAGTTTTGGTGAGATGATTTAGTTTTCTCTTTGAAATGGCACGCTCTATGTTTGCAGAAAATTTATGCTACTGCCCCCCTTCATGATGCAAGTTCGTAAATATAATAGGGAGAATGATGTTATAATGGTCTATAGTTTCTGAGCCCCGTTCATTGAGTGATCATTTTGGAGATTCTCATGACCTTCCTGTGCAATTCAGGGCTGATGCTATGAGTAGAAATTAGGTGCTAGTCGCTCTTAGGGATCAAAGAATAAGTGCAATGGTTATATACAGCACTTATTCAGGGGTGGTGTTTGTTGGTTTTTCTTGTTTTTAGTGGGTTTTGTAATAATGGATGGTGCTTGATTAACTTTGATGCATAATCAACCTGTCTTTTTTTTTTTTTTTTCTGTGGACTCACTTAATTTGCTGTTATTTTTTATTTTCAGACCAAAACCTCCTTTGGAAACTTAAAGGTTAGTCTTTTCACATTTTTAATATGATTCAAACCTTTCAGTTTGCAGGATATGATGTAGAAATGCAAAATTGTATCTAGAGCAAAAAGACACTAGTAGTAATACAATATCAGATACATGAAGGTATCTCTTGCTAATGAAATGCACATATCGATTTGTTTGTTTGTTGACAGGACGAGGACCGTATCTTTACAAACTTGTACGGTCGCCATGATTGGAAGTTGTCAGGAGCACGTAAAAGGGTAGGTTATGTCCATACTCGCGTTAAGGTACTGGAGTTGATTGAAGTTATCTCTGTTTCCATAGAATGAAGGTGGTAGGAGTTCTGAAAGAGGTAGCCAACAATTTTTCATTTAGTTTTGTAGTGTTACAGACATTTTTAGTTGTTTATACCTTTTCCTTCTGTTTGGTCATCTCCTAGGGCAAAACCTTTAAAATATAAGCCCTGAAATATACCCTATTTCTAGAGAAATCAAGAGCAAGTTTAACTCTTAATCCTAGATTAGTACTAACCACCTTTCAGACAACCACGCTCAGGTTGAAAAAAATCTTGTAACAAAACAAAAGTCGAAATATTTTCCATTTTTGTGTGTTTTTGCTCATCTCAGGGTGACTGGTATAAGACAAAAGAAATTATACTAAAAGGGCAGGACTGGATCATCAAAGAAATCAGCAAATCTGGATTACGAGGACGTGGAGGGGCAGGTTGGTTTGTGATTTTTTTTTTTCTCTGGCAATGTGGTGACGTCTGTGTAATGAAGAGGTTGTGTGTTGTTTGGTTTTCCAACAATTAAAAAATGAGATATGGAATATTTCTCCACTCTTTCAGGTTTCCCAACTGGCATGAAGTGGGGGTTTATGAACAAACCAGGAGATGGAAGGTATAGCATACATATTCAGGGTATTCATCCTTCCAAGATCCAATAGTCAATTCTCCCTTCCTGTTACTACTTATTTCCTTTTAAATTAGTAACAAGAATTTGGTGTTAGATCAAGACAACAACTTATACTTGATATGTTTGAGTATTCTCATTACCTGTTTGCTGGATAATGTTTGGATATTGCAGGGAGAAGTTTGATGTGAATCACTTTTGGGAGTTAAAGGGTTAATTAATATAATAACAGAAAGTAGTCTTACCCTCTCTGAGAAGTACAGTATTACTTTTTAGTGAGTTCATTTGGTTGATAGCACTGAGTTGATAATGTAAATTGGCCACTGTTAAAGGAGTCTCTAAGGCTGACATTTCAACATTACCCAACACCTCGTCAGAGATCAGAGCAAATGGTGATTTGCAGGAAAGATCAGCTTTAGAAACCAAATTATCTTGTAAAACAAATCCCCCCCCCCACTCCCCCCTTTGACACAGCACCACAATTTTTTTAGAAACTTTCCTCTTTTATTTTATAAGTTCTCTGTTGGCCAATTGGTAAAGTGTTTTTCCTTATTTACCTTTAAGACCCAAGTACCTTGTTGTAAATGCTGATGAGGGAGAACCAGGGACATGTAAAGACAGAGAGATAATGAGGCATGATCCACACAAACTTATTGAAGGTTGTCTGGTGGCTGGTGCAGGCATGGGTGCTAGAGCTGGTAAGAAAAATTAGTGGCTTAAATATAAAATTTGCTCACAACTCTGAATGAATTGTTACATTTGACCATCTGATTAAACTCAAGGAAAGCAGTGGCCCTCGTAGGTCAGGTACAATTTAAGGAATTGTAGAAAAGATGCCTCAGGCTTGGACAAGATTGGGATCATATTCCTCAATTGGACAGGAAGAACCCTCTCAAATGTACCCCACTCCTGATGTGCAGCTTTGTAGCTCAGTAGGTAATAGGGCCCCAACTATTATCTGGAAGGTATGGGTTCAAATCCTGTTTAAGCCCCATTTTTTTGCAGGCTTCTTTTTTGCTATTGCTTGAATTGCAGCATGTGAAGATCATTGCTTGACTTGGTGAAACTCATTGGCCAAAAAAAATTAATCCTCTTCTTATACACTCATGGAAATGAGAAAGAATTGTTGTATTTCCCAATGTTTATGGATCAAAACTTTGTGATCCTTTCATAAAGAAAACTTGGAATAAAACAAGCAATTTTGTTATTTTTGAACTTCACAGCTTACATTTACATCAGAGGGGAATTCTACAATGAAGCATCCAACATGCAATTGGCAATTAATGAAGCTTATAACGAGGGACTGATTGGAAAAAACGCATGTGGCAGTGGATATGATTTTGATGTCTACATGCACAGAGGAGCAGGGGCATACATCTGTGGAGAGGAAACGGTAATGTTGATATACTGCTCTTTTTTTGAGTGTGGAACTTATGGATGAGTTACACCCTAACATCAGTGTGCAAGTTCTCCAAACTATTCTCTCTAAATTTCCTGTAGTGCTGAGAAGGAGAATTCGTCTAGCAATCAAAACCTTCTTTAGTTTGTGATTGTTGTGTTTACTTTGTTCTCATTTCCTTAATATTTGTTGTAGGGTTGATATTATTAGGAGAATTTAGATTCTTGTCACTCTCGGGGGTTAAAGTAGTAGACACTTATGCATAGTGCAAGATGGTGTGACTGAATTTCACTGTAAAACTTATTGTGTTTTGAGCATATTCACTGTTCTCCCTTCTTGTTAGCACAACAGGTAAAATAAGTTTTCAGTGATAGATGAGCCCTTTTATTAGTTTAATTTTCAAGAATTCCAAGTGTTTTTAGGCGGTATGGACCTTGGAACTCTCAGTAGTGATTAACTTGTAACTTCTCCCTACAGTGTCCATACATTACTCAGCAAACAGGTAGTGAGAATATTCAAACTGATCAGTCATAACATGATTATTGTCTCGATTGAACACCAAATTCTTGTAACCAATTTATGAAGAAATGTGTAGCAGCTAGAGGGGAGAATTAACAATCAGATCTTAGGAGTTAAGAGATAAAGTAGGTTGCAAATTTTACTGGTCACTTCCTGTAAAGAAAACAGGGCTTGTTGGTTGCAAGAAAAGAAGGTTGAATTTCATTTTGTGTGTGTGTGTGTGAATACTGCACATGTTGTTGTTGGTCTGAAATGATTGTAACATTTCTGTAATCAGGCGCTGATCGAAAGTTTAGAAGGAAAACAAGGCAAACCCCGATTGAAGCCTCCTTTCCCTGCAGATGTTGGTAAGTCTTTGTAAACATCCTAGGTACACTTATGTTTCATTTCTACCCAGCACTTACAACAAGGAGGAAAAGAAAGGTTTCTAACTCAGGCCAAGCCACCCACGTATCTAAGTCTTTCGTGGTATACAAACTGACTCGAGGTATTCAACAGGGTTCTCATGGGTCTTGGAAAGCCTGGAAAACTCTGGCATTTTATTTTGATATTTTCCAGGACTAGAAAATCGTGGAAAAAGACTACAGGTCCTTGAAATTCGTGGAAATCTACTGAACTCAAGCAATAAAGTTTTCAGATTTTACGCTTTAAGACATAAATAAAGACCGTAGGGAGAATTGAATTTGAAATCTTGGGAATGAAAAGGGTTAAGAGGAAATTGGGAGTCGTGGAAAAATCAATTTGAGTCCTAGAAAAATCCTCGAAATGTTTTTCTGAAAAAGGGTACGAACCCTGGATTAAAGGTTTCAGTAACGTTTCCCATAAGCGTCTGTGGTGGGTGTTTTAGGCAGCTGTTCCCTGAAAAGGAGTAGGAAGGTAAAACTTAATCACGAGAGTCCACTTGTCGGCTGAACAGAGGGTGGTAAGAGGTCCCATAGGCGGGGAAGGACCATCGGTAACAGGTGTTTTTTGAAACTTCTGGATATTACCACTCTCGCTGGATTGGATGCGTATATGAAGTAGATTACGAGAAGTCCTTCTTTCCAGCGAAGTCCGTCGCACGAGTCCCAAAAAAAAAAATTGACGTCGATGCAATTCATTCCTAGAGCACCCGCAGCGCATCGACATCAATTTTTTTCGGAAAATTTTTTTGGACTTGTGCGATGGACTTCGTCACATTGAAGGAAATGCTCTTAGTCTACACGAGGAGGGCCAAGAGACGCTAACTGGTTCATCTGTACTGATTTTATATTCTGATCATTGAGGTGAATATTTGCCAATTGAGACTGAGTTTGTTCCTATAAATGTTGTTTTCCCTCACCGTTGCTGATTAGATGTGCCTTTTTTTTCCGTTTTAAGGAGTATTTGGCTGCCCAACGACAGTGGCGAATGTGGAAACTGTTGCTGTGGCACCGGTTGGTATTTGACATTTTATTCTTGGTGTACTCTTCCACTGCGGTAGCCGGTCGTTTTGCCGACGTCTCAGGTCGTACCCCTAACGTCTTATAAAGAGCTGGTAGTTTCGCCAACGTATTACAAAACGTGTAGAGATCCCATCTACAGAACTTGATCGACCAAAAAGTCGTAAGGGCGGTAAATCATTTCAATACAAAGTGAAAGTCGGTTCGACACACGAAAGAGTCGATTTGATACAAATGAAGTCATTTCGATCTCAGCAAGACCATTTTCAGACGACCCTATAGGTATGTTCACATTACAACATTTCATGTGTCGTTTTTTTTTAGATGCAAAACAAAAAAGAGACGTCAGTGAAATAAGTTAAAACGTTAGCGAAACGACCTATAAGACTTTAGCGAACTGACCTTACACGTTGGCGAAACAACTAAGGACGTTGGCGAACTTGTCGTCGGTGAAACGAACGCAATTCTTCATAGCTGTGGCTGCTTTAGCCGTTCAGGTTCTAAGCCGCGGCTCCTCTAACTCTCTTACGACTGTCCTTTGCCGTGTCTTGAATGGCCATCTTGTTGCAAAGACAAACCATTATCATTTATTTGAATTTTTTTAGGCCATTTGCAGGAGAGGAGGTGACTGGTTTTCTTCATTTGGTCGACCAAGAAACACTGGAACCAAGGCAAGTATCACAAAGATTTACATGTACATTACTGCTAACGTGTATTGCAGTATTACACGCACTTGAAGCTCGTGCAATTCCCGCGCGTTACACGCGAAAAACACACATACGGAGCGTCACTGCACGCGAATGCAATAAAAAATGCACCCGAGTGAGGGACACTTAGTGCAATTTTTGCTCAGCGTGCTCGATCGGTGACCACAGTGCTTCTTCTTGATATGAGCGATATGACTTGCCGTCAAAAGTAGAGCATGCCCAAAGGGATCGATTTGGCCGGGCGCGAGCCCAGAAAAATTTTAAAAGAAAATAGACAGAGAGTGACGAAACACTTCATTATCAATGTAATTTTGGTTTAAAACGTGACATTCTTTGCTGCACGTATCGCTAAGAGTTACTTAGCTAGAATTAGTTAAAGTATCTTTTTGATATATTTATAACTGTTCTTTCTTTCCAGTTATTCAACATATCTGGCCAGGTAAATAATCCATGTACTGTTGAAGAGGAGATGTCTGTTCCCTTAAAGCTGCTCATTGAAAAGCACGCCGGAGGAGTACTTGGTATGTTGTTTGAGAAAAAAAATTCTTATTTAACGGCGTGTCATAGAGCTTCAAGCTCAATCTTTTCAACTTCATCAATTCGCGACATGCAACCTCCACTCAACATAATAGAAAGAAATCTTTTAATTTACCTCTGATAAGTTGAGTACACTAGGTAATAGGTCTTTTTTTACGGCTGCTCTCATATGATGGATCAATCCTTTTCGTTTCTATGAGAAACTTGAAATAGGTTTGCCCCTTCACAACGGTTGCAGCTAAGAGCACTGAATCAACTCTCTTGTTTAAAAACAAAATACTTGATATTTTTTTGTTTCTATTTATTTCAATTGTGCTATTAAATAACAATCCTGCCTTGTCCTTGTTTAGGTGGTTGGGACAACTTATTAGCTGTTATACCCGGCGGCTCATCAACTCCGCTTATTCCAAAAAGGTGAGCTGTTGAAATTTTTTAAGAGCAATTTATAACCGAGTGTCGAAAGTACTGCTTAACGGGCCATTTTCGATATATTAAAATTCTAACATGGCTCAGAGGCTATGGGGAATTAAAGAAAAGAAGAAAATTACTCATCCCTCAACCTCGATGTGATTTCCTTTGGTTTGTTCCCCCAAGTTTGATTTTTATTGTATCGAAAAGGGCCTATTGGCGTTGGTGTTGCGTAAATTCACCTCGTGATTGGTCAGAAAATCACGCCACTTTCCCAACCAATCAGATTCAAAACTGAAGCCAATCGTGATTTGGCCACTCGCGTTTTCCCGCGTTTCATTTAGGTTGCTTCTTTTTACCTTGAGTTCTCATTGGCTAATGAAAACGTCGACCTTCTCTCCGATTGGCTGTTGTGATTCCTTTGGTATGAGGTTTTCGAAACTCGACCAGCGACGCTCGATACTGATTACAATTTCAATCCAGGCATACCTGTACTAGTTAAATTTTACTGATGGTAGCTGGCTTAGCAGGGACTAGAAAATTTCTTCTCTTGTTTCTTGTAGTGTGTGTGAAGATGTGCTGATGGACTTTGATGCCTTAGTTGAGGCACAGACTGGTTTGGGAACGGCTGCCATTATCGTGATGAACAAGCAGGTAAGTGAAATTGATAGAACTGAAGACTTTATTTCCTAAAGCCTGGTTTTCATGTGTCAGGAAAACACTAGACCATCGGCGATTTCCCCATTTCCGACCGTCCCTTAGTTTTCCGATGTATCGGGAGGTCGACAGGCGTCTGTCTCGCTAGCTTAAAAACGGCTTTTTATTCGTAACTCGGGGGTTACCGGAGCCAAGCTATTAAGGGATTGGTGGCCAGAAAAATTATAGCTGACTTCCCTATGGCTTGATATGCAAAGTAATTGGTCTTAAATCGAAAGAAACGTTTGATAAACGTCATTTGCAAAACTCTTATAGTTGAGGTTAAAATTTCCAAAGAGAAGTATTTTTTGAAAAAAAAGGTTTAACTTTTACTTACATATAAATTGCGAGGGGAATTCACAGAGGGATTTAAAGAGGTATTCACGGTCAGCGCGAATGCACCATTCTCGGAACCGTATAAAATTCTTTTTTTTTTTTTCGTTAACGTTCATTTGTTGTCATGCTAAAAAAATTCATGTACAGTAATATTCCTCCTTTTTGTCTTTTTTTTTCTTTCAGTGTGATCTCATCCTTGCCATTGCTCGACTGATTGAGTTTTACAAGCACGAGAGCTGTGGCCAGGTAAGTCTGTTATGTGTGTTCCGTTAACTACTAACGTCCTAAAAAGAATTACAGGCACTTTGATTTTTGTGTACAGTGACCTCCTTGCAACACTTCAAGTTGGAAACGTTTATGAATATGCTCGCTTGAATTAATTATTTCGTCCGGTTTCAAACTTAATCCTTCAATCCTAAAAGTGTTTTGCATCTAAATTCTCCTTACAATCAAACCCCTAAATCACACACTAAGGTCAGGACAATAAAGGAAATGATCACCAACTGAAGAACCTCTTGATTGTTAAACAAATTCTCCTTGTCAGCACCTAAGGAAATGTATAGAGAACAGTATGGAGAATATGCATACTGATGTTAGGGTGTAAAGGGTTAAGATCAGTGATTGTGCCATTTTTATTTCCTGTTCCTCAGTGCACACCCTGCAGGGAAGGCTGTAGTTGGATGACTACCATCATGTACAGATTTGGTAAATTGTCATTTCATTGCCAGATCTTTTTTCAGCTAGAATAATCCATCATCTTCCCCCGTTTGGTCTTTAGGTTCGAATTACCCCGCACTCTCGGTCGAGCTTGGTCTGCGTTCGAGAAGCGTGAGCTCATTCCCAAAAAGGGGCTCATTAACCATCTTATGTTGCTCCTTAAACGATTACTTGTTGATTTTGTAAACCTCGTGTTGTAAAAATCTCTTTCTTTCTTCACTTTGTTTAATTCTCGTTATGTTTCTTTTTAACTAGAGTGCAATTTTGACACCGCAATTCCTGATCGTCTTATCTCGCTTTGAAAGAATACACGTTGTTCAGTTTCAACAACGAATTAAGTTGAATATCAATACATTACTTTGAGTTCCTCGAGTGTAGTTATGTTTCTTTAGTGGCGGAACATCTCTAGTTATTATTTCCTTTCTGTTTTTTTTCCTGGTAGAAATATTTTTTACGTTCGTTCTTAATTTTTCTTTTCGTTTTTTCTTTTTTTTTTTTTTAAGTTGAGGGGAAAGCAACACCAGATGAGATTGATATGTTGTGGGTAAGAGATTTATTAAGTAAAGAGGAATTGTTTTTAATCGGTCAGTTGCTTCGTTTATTAGTGCAACGAACTTTCTTAAATTTGAAATCTCGACGGATCGATGGCCTCAAATGTTCTCAGATTTACCTTTAAATTAATTTTCGTGCAGCCTTAAATTATTACGCATCGCACCGATCCCCGTTTTCTTGTCGTGAATAAATCCCATTTCCTTGCTTCTCAAAAATCTTGCACCTCCCACTGAGTGTAGTAATTCACCCACAAGTGCCGGATCAACATGTAAGTTCTCCCTATAATATCCATATACACTATACAGCAAACAGGGTTTGAGAACACTCAAACCTATCTGGTAGAATTTGTTATCGTGATCAAACGCCAAATTGTCATAACTAGCTTAGATGGAAATCTGAAGTTGCTAGAGGGGAGGATTAACAATCAGATCTGGGGAGTCAAAGGTTAAAGATGTTACCATTCTCTTTCTCATTTCGTCTCTTCTGTTACCTCACCACTATCATAATGTGTTACCCTTAATAGGAGCTGAGTAAACAGATTGAAGGACACACAATCTGTGCATTGGGTGACGGTGCTGCCTGGCCAGTGCAGGTAAAGAGGTTTTGATAGGAAAGTCTCCTCCTCAAGCCTTTAATTTCTCGCGCTTTCAGTATCAAATCGACCGCGCGGGAAAACCTGCGATGCATGCGTCATTTAGACAGAGGCATCATATTTGTGAAAGGTGCTCGCTCGTGCAGATATTTGGCTAGTGGTTTATTGGACTCTTGAATGAAGCTGTGAACTGTGAAAGCATTACTTCAGATTTTTAGAATCCTCTTTAGTTCTTAACTTTCCTTTAGCCGCGCAAAATGTTGCACAGTCAGAGAACGGGAAACCTAACAGCAAATCATTTACATCGAGCGCTTTACCACGTTTTTGTATTATGCCTAAAGGGAGAACTGTATAATTTTATAATTATATAGAAAATTGCGGAATAATTAGGAGAAACAAAGTTTATATTTCAAAGGATTTTTTTCCCAGGCATGGCTGTCTTGATATCCTAAACTCCCTTTTGTCTTAAAATACGAAGAATGGAAGCAATGTTGGCCGGTTATTTAAACAAAGTTTAGCGTATGTTTGACATAATCGTGGTCTAAGTCATGTACAATTTAGTCGAACCTTTTATCTGAACAATTGCTTCATTAAGAGGGCCGAACTGAAAGCCAATAGTGAAGGGACATTATTTCAATTAAATTTAACATTCCTATAGAAAATACCCAGGGCCCACTGCCGTAGACTTCTTGTAAATAACCGGCCCTAGAGAAGGCTTACCTGTTAAGATTGTGCGTGACTGTAGCAACAGGCGCACACCTTCATGACACAACAACAGATAGCTGCCCAGATTCTCAACAGAAACTCTAAAATCCCAATGAACAGAATGATGCCAGTGATTGACAATTCGGCTTCATTGACCGAATAGTAGGAGTCGTAATAACCGTTGTAAGAATTTGAGTCAATTGCAATGCTGTAGAAAGTAATGATCAGTCCACCAAACACAGCTGAGGTAATGGAGAAGCCCATGAATACACTGGCCTATAATTTAATGAGAGATGTTACTGTTACCGAAAAACGATCTCGTCTCGTGATTTAAGATTTAACAGAACGCGGTTGTGATTGGGAAGTTGTTAGACGTCATTGATGTCAATCCTGGACTCGCATAGAAGATTGCGCTCAGGGGACACTCAGTAGATATACGTTGCGGGACGAACGAGACAGGTGGAGCTCAATTTGTGTGAAATAGCCGAAGAAACTGCTCTTGTTTTTTTATCTTTTTAGGGATTGATTCGTCACTTTAGGCCGATGCTGGAAGAGAGGATGGCAGAATACGCCGCCAAACAAGAGAAAGGCTCTACAGCAGCTTGAAAATACAGACTAAAGACTTGTGTACAGATTATCAAATCGGCGAGTTTCGTAGACTCTTTAACTGACCTTGAGAAAAACCCAACAATTTGACTGCTTTTTTTTACTTTTTGAATACTTGTTCATTAAAAGTGTGAGATAGTACATGAAAACTGTAAATGTTTATTGGGTCATAAGGGCCATCCTTTTTATTTCGATGAAAAGCGCAAGATTACTTGTTAATGAGATGAACACTCCTTTTTTTGGGTCGAATTTCTGCTGGTTTTGTCCAGATTGGTATACAATCCACTCCCAATTTTAAATGACTGGTAAACAAAAGGACGTAATAAAACGAAAGTTTGAAAGATGAGTTGATCTTGTTATAGCATGCTAGCCTACTCTCATTAGCGCAGCAAGACGAGCGTTTCTCTGTTCATAGGAAGATTTGAGACGGGTTGAGAAGACGACTGCTCTACCGTGGCTGATATGGGCCAACAAAATTACGTCTACTTTTCTCGCGTGGATAATTATAATTGTCGATGTATACTTGTAACAGGCAAAGAGCATTTACAACGGCTCATGTACAGGTACTTTTGTTGGCCCTCATGAGCAGGGGTACTGCTGGGAGTCTGTACCCATTGCAAACCTCGCGCGACCTGGCGTCACTCAAAGCCTCAAATATGCTATAATAATAATAATAGGGGGCCCCTTGCTACTCCTGGAGAGGTTGACACCACCCAGGAGTAGCGAAGCGTCGTAGCAATCTGTTAGGAATACCTGCAAATAGTGTGGTGATATTCAACAAAGAGCTTTCCAGTCCTTTCGATCAGCGGCTAAGACGCTTTACTGTCGCGAAACGAAGAATTTGCATTCTCACCGGATAGACCGATACACAAAACAGAAAATTGTGTCGAAACACCACACCCTAATTAGATTGGAGTAATGATTGATTGTCCAAGAAATTTTAAAGTTTTCACGGAATTTGGTTATCTCTTTCGATGTTTTCGTTGATAGTCGGAGCCGAAGTGGATGAAAGCGATTTTCATATCTGCTTCTTCCGAGACTTACTGCTTTTTTATCCGAAGACGTCTGTCTCTAGAGAGATTTTCAATATAACCTATGTTTCTGAAAGGAAAAGGTTGTCGTTCATACGTTAATATACATAGGGAGAATTCACACATTTCAAGACGCGAAAATGTAATTAAAAAGAGCTAATTTGACTTCTTTTTCTCCAATTTGCCTTTGCAAACCCTCATTTTTTATGTACAATGTAAATAAGTGCGAATACTATTTACAAATCTTAAATATTAATACTTTCCACAGGTTCTTCATATGGTCCCAATTTCAATCCTCATTATTTTTGTCCTGCGAGAGCTGATCTCCTTCGTCCGTCTGTAAGTTAGCGCACAAGTCTGCCCTATATGAGTTATCAGCTGCATGGAGCTCTTGATCACTTGAATTTATCTTGATACAGATTGTAAATAAAAAGTATAGTCTTCCACACATTAAAATCTTCAGGAACCGTAGAACGCAAATCACCAAGTACAACCCAGAATGTTCTACGTCTAACATGACCAGACAATGATATGGCACAAAGGAGAAGACCCTCAACGGATACAAAACAAGTCGAAGTAGAGTAGATACAGTTACATCTCCAATGAGCAAAGAAAAATTCAGTGTTAAAATTGAATGGTTAACGCGTCTCGATGTTCGTGCAAAGCCGTCGATTATGTAAACCAAGTCGCACAGGCATACTAACCAAGCTAGTAGCAAACTTGTGTTATACGTGTTCATTCGTGCAACGCACCAGCCAGTTAGAATAGCATTGGTGACGTAGAAGTCCCATAAGCCGGATATGATTGAAGCAAACGCGGTCATAGTGATAAATGCGAAGAGAATTCTGTTGCTTTCTTTTTTAGCAGCCTTCCGCATCAAAGAGCTGTTTACTTGCGAAAATAGCGCGCGCATTTTTGCATTGGTGATGTATTCAGGAGTTTTTTCGTGATTTGGTTGCGCTCACAGGCGCGTGCAGTCGAGAACATTGCTCAAAACATCTGTTATTTGTTGAAGTCACGCGAGAAACTTTTTAGCTGATGACTCGGAAAACTGGACTCTGAACATTGCACTGTCGGTTGTGCGTGACAGCCAAAGTCGGGCACCATCTATTCTAGTCTCCATTGCAGCAGTTCTTTATATGGTCACGCAACGCCCCCGAAGCGTTGTGTGACACCCCAAAGAACGGTTTCGAAGGAGACTACATCCTACTTAATCATCCACACTTATACGTTTAACCGTTCAGTTAATAAAACGAAGTGCCGTAGTGAAGGGAAGAAAAACGGCAGCGGAGGAGTGAAAAAAAGAGAGAGGCCTGGGTCGGATCGAGTTGTGTAGTTTGCCGAATTCTTGTAACTCGCCAACATCTTGTACGAGGAACTAATTTCTTTATTCACACTCTGCCCTTCATCGTTAAACTTGAATATCACTTCTGTCCTTTCTTTTAAAAGAAACAGCAAGTAAGTTTACAAGGGATCCGCCGTATTCGTCGGTAAATGTTGTTAATGGAACTTACAATAACAACATTTACCGATGAGTTGAACTCGAGAAAGTTTGCGATCACAATTATTGTTTCGTCTATTAACTGATAGGAAATATTTTCTTCTGTATTTACGTCTAGTGAGAACGTAGAAAGCTTCAGTTTTCCTTGGGTTTCCTATCTTTAATCTGTTGACGAATTCGAAAGACTTAGCAATCCTTTAGAAATTTTTTTTAAAACAACTGATTTCAGCCTCAATGCCAGTTGCGTCACTCGAGTCCAAGGCAACTCAAGATTACAAATACATCTCTTTTTTTCGCACTTCTAAAAAGCCGTAATGTAGCTCTCGTGGAATTTCCGTTTCAAATCTAATCAGTGACCTCTGAAGATCGCCGACTTAACCATCACAACTTGAGAATACGTCAATATTGACAGCATGAATTTTTTTCTTACAATGGCCAAGAAAAAGCTGATGTAGAAATCCTCTGTGACTCACGAAATTGTCATCACAGGAAAGAAAGCCCACTTTCTAGGGAGTCATTCGGTTTTCGGAATGACTGCGCAATTGGTGCGAACGAGGCATTCACGTGATTCGAGTATGTTCTTAGTCATGCCGGTCAAAGCTAATTAATGAGAAATAAAGTGAACCGACTCCAGGCACTCGCTGAAATGTTCAAATGTATTTCTTTTATTACATTGGTTCTCAAATCTCGATCTCGTCCATTAGATGTGAAGGCATCGAGAAACAATAAAAGTCTACCATAACTACTCTCACAAGTAAATTTTATGACAGCACAGAATATTATATCGATATCTGTTACTTCTGACCCGCTTACGTAATAAAGACAGCTCCTCTCGTGAGGGAACGCACAAACAGCGTATGAAGGAGGAATCGCTTTAAGGCGCTGAAAGAGCACGTATATATATTGAGTTACCGTAGATTTGTCCACATAGGTAAACGCGTACAAATCCTTACAAGAAATACATAATTCACTTTCAATTTGACAATCACCTTGAAATTTTATTTTCATTTGACCATGTTCAACCTTCCAGAAGTTGACAGCTTTATTTACCACCGGAATCATTTCTAAAAAAAACAGACAATTCAAAGTAGCGGGCTTGAGTTGTCTCGTTGTGTTACTACATATATAACATTAAGAGATTGTTAAAACTGGTTCCACTTGATTCTTATCAAAGGAAACGTGAGGAAGAAACTGTAACCTTCGTACTTTCGAACGAGTCATCTTTCTAATGACCTCCGGTCATCCAAGTTTGTCCTATTAACAGGTTATTACATAAGAGTCCTCGGACTTTGCCAATAGCAATGGCAATACTTATTTTACTCTTCCCCGTACAAGTTTAACATTGTTATTAACATAACGAAGAAATATTAAGTTATAAGCAACTTACAATACTTAGTATCATAATTAACACAGTATTGTGGTATTTTATGACTGAAGTTAATCGAGCGACTTGTGTTAAGAACAACCTGTTGCGCTAACACGAGTTATCACAAGTCTTCACCGTGTCAGTTTGCAAGGCAGAATGCGAACATTTGTAAGCATCGTCCCTAGGCGAACGACGGGGTTGAATCCTTCTTGGTTTTCAAAGGGTCTATGATCGTGAGGAATAAATATTTGCCTCTAAGTGTTTTCAAACTCCCCTTTCTTGCCATCTAGTAGCTTTCGACCGTAGACGTGACCCAGAGAACATGCGTGGAGCTATTTTGAGCATTTTTCCGAGACAAACGCGTTACGGGCGCGTGCAACTGCGATCGGGTTACACGAGAAAGGAGGAGCGCTAAAACTTCACATTAAAAAAAAGAGAAAAAATGACCAACTAGATAAATGATTGATAACACAACCCTTTCTAGCTAGCACCCCTCTGTCGAAATGAAAATCGAAGAAACAAAGATTTTGACTATCAAATAGTGAAAACGCACGTCACCTACGCTAGCACTCCGTCTAAGGGTGGTCGGTTGTCTTTTCAAACAACCTTCTAGTGGATGAAGACCCTAAGTTACATAATCTTACATTTCTTCTGTGTGTCCATTCTTCGCATTCGAAGCTTAGAGCAAGGATTTTGAGAAGCAAAGAAGTTTGCGACGACATAACTCCTTCTCGTAAGACGTTAGTAATTTTGTCGTTGAACAGTTTTGAATCAAAGACATCGCAACACCTTGATCAAAGACATCGCAACACCTTATAAAATTGTATAGTCTCCCATTTCACTTCATTGCAGTTGAACGTCATAACTTTCAAGCCAACCAAACATTGTTTTAAGTCAGTAATGAATTGAATTGGACGAGAAATGTTTCGAGCGATCAGAAAATCCTCTTGTGACGCTGATGGACAAATGTTCTGTATTGATTGTTACGTAACTTTCGTAAGTTAATTAAATTACTATGGCTAGTTTCTCCATCGGTTTCCTTGCAGCCTCTATGTCCTAAAGTTTTCTTAGGCTTTCTCTCGCGGGCTTCTCGTAGTTTCTTGCATAAAAAGCTGATCAATGAAGGTAAATAAACTCTGACGCGGATCAGGAGTCGCCCAACTCGAAGCGCGCACAGAAGAAGATACACCTGACCAGAAATATCGAGTTCCAGAACCACCAGTGCATGATACGGAATACAGCTTACCAAGATCAGCGGCACAACCGTGCAAAAATGCAGAACAGTCAACAGTGATACGTTTCTGAGAACGTTCGAAAGGCGCCGAGTATGTTTGCTACTCCACGCCAGAACATCCATGTTGTAAACAAAATCGCATATGCAAACCATCCAGGCAAAAAGTAAACTTCTGTTGAATTTGTTGATCTTGGAGAAAAACCAACCTGTTGTCACAGAGGAAAAAACGAACAGGTCCCACAGAATCTTAGAAACACTCTCCATATCAGTGTTGCGTCGGACGGTTCATTAATTTGGCACGCATAAATTAAAAGTGCTTTTTTTCAGGGGTTTGTCAAGAAAGTAAGTCCACATTAGTGCGTCTTGGCTGATTTTTGTCGTTGTGTCGATCACAATCGATGCATGTGATCGCGAACTGAAAAACCATCAAAGATGTCTCCATTTAGCCTTACTAAACGAACAAAGTTCAATTCAATATTGTTCAGAGTCTAGTGAATGTCTAAGGAAACATTTTCTATTCTGCGACCTTTGTTGGCTGCTGTTAAAACTACTTATATGCCAGATTAACGTTTCGAGTTCGCCTAAAATAGTAAAAAAGTTGTTCAGTTTCTTGACATCGCTAAATTTTCAATATGCGTACCATTTAATTTTAAAGCAGTAAAATTTAACCGACTGAACCGTAAAAAAAAATGGAAGTATTACGGAACAGTTTTCAACTATCGGAGCGAAGGTTGACATCATTAACCAATGAGAACTCGAAGTAAAAACAGGCAACCAGCTTGCACTTGAAGCGCGGGAAAACGCCAGTGACCAAGTCGTGATTGGTTTTATCATTGCATTTGATTGGTTGAGAGGGTGACGCGAGTTTCAACGCGTCAACCGAAAAAGCTTTGATTGCTTAAGGAATTCTCCTTGTCAGTACCAAAGCAAATGTATTTAAAGAAGAGTATGGAGAATGTAGATACTGATGCTAGGGTATAAAGGGTATAAAATACTCATACAGATAATTTTGGCGAGTAAATCTGTTGCCATGATTGAATCAAAACCAAACTCGTTTAGAATTATGCCGATGAACCTAAAAGCACGTTTCTCTTCAACTACATGTCCGTCTTCTCGAATCGCGCCGTCCTTCTGTTTCGCCTCGACGCAGGTTGTGTCACAGCCGTCCCCTACCTTAAAAACAGAGAGAGAAAAAAGAAGAGGGGAAACGGTCCACTTCCCGATTTTCTTTTGGAGGGTAGTGGGGGAGGGCTGCTGCAAACAGGCTGTGCTCTTCGCCGCCTGCTCAAATTACTTGATGTAAAACAAGACAGCCACCTAAAAGTTAAAACAGGCTTTGTAATGATGCTTTTCCAAGCGGGTTTAAGAAATCTCTACGAAAATTGAGCAGCTCTGCAGCACTTCTGGTCGTACGAGAAGAGATGCCTTCATTATTTAATGAACTGGACACAGGAAAGTGAAAACGCGTCACATTTCGTCATATTCTAGGTAGACTGAATAGACTGGATTTGCATCGAAATACTCGCTTCTCAAAATAAAACGTAGCGATACGTCAATTTCTACTATAGACAAGGAAAAGGTCTGGCATTACATTCTCTGTAAATAATTTGAGTCTTGCTCAAACCATTCACTCTGATTGTGAGAAAAATGTTTAGGCATGTTACTCAATTCGAGCGATATCAAATCAGAGAGGCCTGTTTTCTGTATGCAAACGACCCTGACCTCTCTGATGTTTTTTGCTTTTTTTAGGTCAGACTTATTGTCTCCTTTGAAGGAAAAATCTCATCGTAGCTTTGTTGTTGTTGCATTGTTTATTGTTATCAGCTCATGTCATCACTCTTCGATAATCGATTAATCGCAGATTTTCTTAGATTACATGAATTGAGCTCTTGGCTTGAATTTTTTTATAAAAAAAAAAAGCTCGTTGAAAGAGCAATGTTTCTCTGTGTGTAACCTGCCTTTGCTTGTAAGCGACGCTTGAAACAATTGTCTATCATAAACTTTTATCTGTTTGGTCTCATTTAACCCTGGGGTAACAACAACTCGCCAAACGAGGTATTACTACGAAAAACATAAGACAGACAATTTTTAAAAACATAGTTGGAATATTGCTGTAGTCTAAAGGCTAGAGGAACCTTGAGCTTTCCGAGCCAGCCCCTATTCATTCACAGTCAGTTTTTATCACAAAAAAGGGCAGCAAAAGAGAAAGAAATCCGACCTATTATTAGATAATGAAGTATTTCCAGCAGAATGCGTAAAACAGATGCAAGAACTTACATTCAAGTTACCTACGGTGTTTTTTGACTGCCGAAATAGCATTTCACTTCTTTAGCACAAAGGAATGTATTCAGGACTTTTAAATATCGAGGAGTGTCTTGCTAGAAGAGAACTATTGCCTGATATGAAAGCATTTGTTTGCTCATGTTGGTTCGAGGTTTGCGGAAATGTTGCTTTGACTCATACCTCGTAATGAGTTTATGGCGACAAGCTGGCGAGATTAAAAATGTCATCAGTTACTCTTGGTAGAGCAAAGGGGGATATTAAGAGACTGTTAAATGTCAACTTACAATGGATTCAGAGGTAGTCATCATCCAGTAACTACGTTATCGACCTTGGCTAACCTTCACCTTCCGTTAAAGTTGGGTAACATTTTAACCTTACGAAAGAGAAGCATCGTCATGGGTGACCAGTAAAAAAATTTCAGCTTTCCAAGGAAAACTGAGGCTTCGTTGTAGAGGCTTTAACCTGTGCAAGGAGAATATTTCCAATTGTAATTGGAGAGATGACAACGATACAGATTAAATAACTTAATAAGAGATTTTTCTCTCTCAAAAAGAAGATCTCGAAAAACGTTATTAAAAGATTAATTAATGGAAGGGGGTAATCAGAGTTTACCATAGTCTTAGTCGTTATAGCTGCGTAGAAATTAAACATGTGAAAAATTTTGCCAGGAGTACACAACGCCCTCTTCGAAAGTCTCTCGAGACATTCATTTGGATCAAATAACCAACCAAAAAAAAGAAACCTCAAATAACCAAAAATTGACACCAGCAAATGAAACGCGTAACCGTATTTTTATTTCAAGTTTTAAATCTTTAAATAAGATTGTCACATTCACGTGCAAACATTACTCTTTTGCAATATTTTCTGGAAATTCCAGCTTGCAATATTGGGTAGCCTGTGCATAATAGTTTTACAGGAATGCAATAGTAGACAGGTGGACCGAATATCGGACGAAGAATTTGCATACATTAGATTTTAGCCCTTGCAGATCCATGGCTTTGTAAAGAGTAAAATTAGTGCTTTATAGCACAAATGACTGCTAAAAAATTTACGAAAAAAGATTCTCTCAATGACTTATCATTATAAAATTATCCAAAACTAAGTATGTTACAATTTAATATCTGCCATGATTCAACGCTTTTTAGCACGTTCACAAATTTTCAACCGAGCTTCCAAAATAATTCCGAAAATTAAAAAAAAAATTACATTATCTTGGAGAAATTTGTGAGAAGCGATAGCGGAATATTCCCTGGTTTCAAAAAGAATTTGTAGCTCTCTATCTAGAGAGCAAAGGTGTATAAAATTCTATCTATGATACTTTTAAACGAGAGAGAAATGGGATCGAAGTTTCGACGGGAAGTCGCTTTTAACCTTTGCAACAGCAGCCGACATTTGCTACGAATAAAATGAAAGAAAAAACAGAGAGTTTTTTACTAGAAGTTTCTCTCCATTTCTGTATCAATAAGTTTCTTGATGTGACGCAAAAAGGGCGATGAGTCAACTGTCCTTTCCACAAAGAATTCATCTGCGTTCTCCTTGCGTGTTTTTCCGCAGGTTTTTCTCGCGGGGAGTCTCTTGGACCGTCTTTGAGTCATTACGGCTCTATATTCAGCCACGTTCGAAAGCGTCCAGGCAAAAGAAAGATATAATCTTCCCGACAGCAAAAGTCTCGCTACTCTAAGGGCGCACACCACAAGATAGACACCACAAGCGTCTAGTTCCAAAATAACCAAAATATGGTATGGAACAAATGTCACTACTTTGACGACAGCCGATAAATTCGCTAAAATTGTTCTTGGTAAACCATTTGACGTAACCGACGCCCAGCTACCAGAGGTCAGCGAGGTTTTACTTGTTCTAGCCAACGCGTCTAAGATGTAAACCATATCACAGAGGAATATGACCCAAACACATAACAAACTGGAGTTGTAGGTATTAATTTTCGACAAAATCCAACCGCTTAGGGCTGCATTCATCACGTAAATGTCCCATATTCGACACATGATTATGGACAGAGAAGCCATTCCTTCAGAAATCCAATTCCTTTGAAATTACGGCGGTGGTGTTCTCGGGAAAAAATTCTGAGTTGTCGAGGAAGACGAAGAACGTTGACTAAGCTGACAGCTCGTGTTTGGCTGTTATTTAATGAACATAGTCAATTCAAAATCAGCACGTGCAGACGAGATGATTTCTACGACCAAAGTCCAATCGAACCATATCACCAGCGTGGACTGCATGTTCCGCGTTTAAAAATAGTTCACATTGTTTGACAATCTCTGGGACGCGCGATGAAGAGAAATGATGTTATTCAATCGCCGAGGCCGGGAACCATTTTTTTTCGGTTGTTCATAGCATTGAAAACGCTTTTAAAACACGAAAAACCAGTGTTGCATCACCTAATTGCTGGTGTTTTAAACATGAAAGGGTAAATGCAAATGTTTTATTTGTTTTTACTCCGCAAGGGATATTAGTTTAAGATTTCGGGAAGCCCAGGATCAAAACAACACTGATAACAGCTTTTTCATTGCCTTTGTTTACAACTTGAGTTATTTTTTCGACATATTGCATACTTTTTTTAAGGCTTCACAGTATCAGCTGATATTCAAAGTTCGGAATTCAAGTGATTTGGGGGCGTTCCAAGTAATCTCGTGGATTAAACTTAAGGATCAACTCGAAATAACAGTAGATCAATATATGAAAGAATCGATTCACAACCTTCAATGGAATTTTTATATATATTAAGCAAAACGAACAAAACAAATTTTTTCTAAGAATGAACCAGACAGATCTTAACATTGCCATCACCCTTAGTCGACTCTTCTGTCCGCAGTTTGTTACGTGTCACGTATTTGCGTGCAACGGCAGACGCCTTCAATATTTTAGCTTGTCACGTCCTCAGCAAGTTCAAGAGAAGAAGAGGAAGCCCGCGACCTTTTTCCTGCGACCCACGGGAAAGTTTTGAGCAGCACATCCGTTGAGAACTAATTTAACTTTCGTTAATGGAACAGTTCTCACCGTCTTAACTGGAACAAAAAACGTGTAAACATTTATTCCCTTTTGTTAACCTTCTAAGAAAAGCATAACGCCTCTTTTGCGGTAAACGGTATCCCGCCGCTAAGTGGAGTACATGAAGCTCAACATGCCTCTGCCCCTTCCAATCGGAGGAGAGCCGGCCGCCCCAATACCTAAAGAGATAACAAAGAACTTTTAGTCCATTTTATTCTTTTCTTTTTTTTTTTTTTTTTTTAATTTTTCAACAAAGGCTAATGAGCTTTGTCTCTCACTGAGTTCAACTAACAAAGACTGGATGGCCACTGTTGCTCAAATTCTTGGAAAAGTAAACCCGCACAAATTTCATTAGGGAAATTTGAACAGAAACAGCGAAGCTCAAAGTCAAGCCGTAAGGAAATAGGTATCTATTGGTTTCTGTCAACAAAATAGGGTCAATGTTTTCAAATTTTGTTTTTTCGTTTTTGCTCTTTAGTCAGAAAAAGCAGTTATGTTTAATTTATCGAAAACAAAATTAATAAAATGTTACAAAAGAATGGCTGAAGGAATGTCTTGAGCGAGTGAAAGGTTTCATAACCGGAAAGGCGGGCTTTGGTCCGGGATCTCGATTTTGCATATTTTGTTTGCATCGTGTCTTGCAACACACAACGACGGTCAACAAAGGGAAATTTCTGTCACATTTCGCAATACGTTAAGAAACACGATTCCTCGTCCAACAGCCGAAAGGGGATGATCGCGAGAGAGCCCAGCCTGAAGAGATAGATATCAAAGTTTTTGTTTTCCCTCGCTTGCTATGCCCACTTTTCCTTCTGATTTTTGCAGAGTTACCTCTACTCAAGCCAATTAATACGTATGCTGATTTGCTGGATTTTCATAAAAATTGGCCAGAATGTTCGTGAGATATTAACGAACCAAAGTATGCAAGACTTAAACGAAAATTCCAAATATTTCTCTCGTGAAGTCCCAGAACTTGACAACAACCGAACTATTCTCTTTTGTCAAACTTCAAAATAGATTTTCTCAAGAATCATTTAAAATATCGAAAAAGCTTCACACGCTTTGTTAACCAAATATTTGCTGAGTGATACTGTTTAGTTTGTGTGGAGGTTCGTGGTGATGCAGAGGCTGGTAATTCAGTTGAGTAAATACCGTAAGCTTTGTGTTTCAAGGCTCGCGCGCGCCTCTCAAAACAGAAACTTTAACAAACTATAGATTATGCTATTTCATAATCTATACTTTTTAAGCTTCACATCGATATATATACTTTTCCGTGGTTTCTGTAAAAGTAGCACGCGTAGCACGTTTTTCTCCGGAAAGCACCCTATTTTGTCGACTACACTCTTAAGCCGATTCAGTGGACTCTGGTGACCTTTCCCGCTTAACAGATCTGTTTAAGTAGAATTACGTGACTTAGGCCATAGCTATCGAAATATCTGCCTTTCTTTCGTTGATCTCTCTTGACAAAAATCATTGAATATAACACGAACGAACACTTAAAGCGTAAAAGAAGAAGTAGAACAAAGTTATGCACAAGTTCAAACAAATCACTGAGATGTTCGGGGTAAAATAACCCAACCGTCTGAAGCGCGGGAAAACGCGGGCGACCAACTCGTGATTGGTTGATAAGTTTTGCATCTGATTGGTTGAGAAGACAACGCATGTGATCAGGTCGAGATTGCTTTTGATTTCCATGCCCAACAATCATTGCTTAGGTCAAGTATATTTGTAACTACGGGCAAATGTTTCACCCTCAGTGCAAATAAATAAATAGAAATAAAAACGTCAATACCTGACGTCTTTGGAGGACTGAAGGAAACACCGCCAAAATTTTTCTTCCGAGCTTCCGCGTGGAGTCTGGCCCTACCGACTCCAGCCAAGTGGGTAGAACTCACGCCAATGGATTTGGGCGAGGTCGGCTGTCCACGAACATTATTCATTAGGGCAAATTCTGGTTTTTCGTTTGTAACGAGTTTAAGTCTAGATTGAATTTCGTTTTCGAGTTCTTCGCTCGCATTTGTAAGCGATGAGGATGAGGATGAGGTTTTGCGTGTGTCTTGGGAGGAAAAACTTTTATTTCCGACGCCCGGTCTTTCAGAGTTACTATCACCATGAGCTAGCTGTCTTGAATATTGTTCAATTGACTTATCGCACACCACTGGATTTTCATGAAGCGATCGAGATTGCGCTTTCATATTGTCGAGACAGTGTTGAAATACTGGGTTCTTTGGGGTTGAAATACTGGTTGCCATAGGACCTCTCCGAAGCAGATCAGAATCGTGAACAACCTGCTGTTGAGAAGAACTAACAGTCACACTTTGTTCGAGACTATGACGAAAGATGGGATTGTCTGTGCCCGAATAACGCTGTCCACGATTTTCTACCTGCGAACTTAATCCTTGGGAAGAATTGTACAATGATGATGGGAGCTGCACTTCTGAACTACAAACGAGAAAAAAGAAAAGAAAATATATATTTCAGCTGACTGAACGCAAGCAGGCTTAAACTCGACGAGCGAGTGCCCGGTTCTTTCATGCTAAAAATCATAGCTGCCATCTTTGATTTTTACAAAAGTGGAAGGCTAGGAATAGAAGGAAACTTGTACCAATGGACGGGGGGGGGAGGGGGGGGCAACGATCGAAGGAAAGAGATGAGAGAGTGTGGGCCTTTCCCCTTCTGGTTGTGTAAAATTTACTTCATACCCCCACTTGGGCTCTGTAGTATTCGAATGAGCGCCCCCTCCCCCTTCTCATTGGCTGTCAATTTTTATAGTCCCCAAGTCCCCAAGTATCAAAATCAACTTTACTCAAACAAGCTACCCTATCATCAACATTATGAAAAGCTGGGTTCCAGCAATGGCATGAACTAACTATAAAAGTTAAAAACCACTCAAAATATACACAAGAAAAAAAGAGAAAAAAAATATATATATATCTGTGTACACTAATATCCATGACTTAAACTATTAATGCATTAAATATAACCCTACGAAATAACTTAAATAGGTCACATTTAGTCTATGGGTTGAAATAAGTTCATCAAACGTAGCCAAAGTTTTACAACTACGTATTTCAGTCGGTAAAGAATTCCAGATCTTAACACCATGATAACTGAAACTCTTCTTTAAAAATTCAGTCTTAGGCAACGGAACGGTCAACTTATCATCAGCGTTCCCTAAATGATAATTGTTGGCCGAACACGAGTCCCTGAAAAAATTCGAAAGCCTAGCAGGAGCCAAGTCATGGAGAACCTGAAACATTTTTTAGCCTTCCTATGAATTCTGCATTCGCTAATAGTATGAATTCTACATTCACCACTATTATACGACTGCGAGTGACTCGCACTTCGCGCTGGCATTGCGGTTGCCTTCGTTCGACTGAAAATCGCGAAAAAAAATTCGATCTGTCCTGCATGCTACTTCATCTTCATAAAACAAGATCTTATAATAAAGCAAGCAAAGTGTTTTTCGAGGTATTACCTTGAACTTCTCAATAGCGCTTCCCTTCTCATTTGTTGCTTGAATTTCTCACGTTCCTCCGGACTTAACCTAAAATAAATAAAAATACTTTTCTAAGCTTAAAAAAAGGAAAGATTAGGAACAAAATCACACGCAGAGAGGACACGGGTTTCCAGTTTCATCACAGGGTTTCTCAGCTTGTTCCTGTTTCTCCCGCTTTTGAAAAGTGTTCGCGTTTACCATTCGTCTTACAGTACATCTCAGACAGGACGCTTTCAAAATTGCTGGAAAACTGTTATAGCGCGAAGAACACTTGTCATTTAAAAACCTCTCAATGGTACAAACCTTTGAATATCAGTAACTGCTGTGGAGTCAGACGATTGAAACGACTCCTGCTTAGGAAGGATTCTGTCGACTCTGTGAAACAGTTGACTATGATCTGCCTCTAGAGATTTTCGAAAAACAAGCCATGTTACAGTATTATTTATCACCTCTAAATTCTCATGGGTAATTTACAAACATCTAACTTCTCTCTACAATAACAACACATTGCTCGGTTAGCAGGTGATGAGAAGAGACAAACACATCAGCTGTAAGCATGGGCTTGCATTTTGATATATTTTCAAAACACTAATTAAAATCCTCTTTGCTGGTGTTGCCCCAGGGTGTAGAGAAAGAGGTGTTGAAATCTGTTAATGGATAGCAAGTGTATATCAAGAGAAGTCAGCAAAATTGTAATGTAAAATCATTCTTAACTCTTTAAATCCTAGGAGTGATCAGCATCTTATTTCTCCTTACAGTAATACTGCTGAATCATTCCTTAACCCTTTAACGCCCAAGATCTGATTAATAATTCTGCTTATTGTCTGCCACACAATTCCTGTGATGCTAGTTCGGAGAATTTGGTACTGGATCAACAAGAAAATCCTCAAACTTACATTTTTCCAAATTCTCATCACCTGTCTGATTGATACTGTATTGATATTGTAACGAGAAATTCTGTCTTGGTCACTCATGGGAGTTGAAGGGTTAACATCACGAGAAGACAAAATGATTGCCAACTAAAGAGGTTTTGATTGTTACACAAATTCTCCTTGTTGGTACCAAAGGACAGAGTTTAAAAGTCTAGAAATAACCCTGGCTCCTTGATCTTTGATCCTTGATATTGCTGAAAAGAAGCTTGTTAACCCTTTAACTCCCAAGATCTGATGTCAATTCTCCCCTCTAGCTGCTAGACATTTCCTTGTACATAAGTTACAAGAATTTGGTGGTAGATCAAGATGACAACTTCTAGCTGATAAGTTTGAGTATTCTCATGACCTTCTTGCTGGATAATGTTTAGATGTTACAGGGAAAAGTTACATGTTAATCACTTTTGGGAGTAAAAGGATTAAAAACTCAGGTTTGGACGGGATTTGAGCCAATGCCACTCTGATACTAGATGGGTGATACCACTAACTGAGGTTCAAAGCCACATGCTAGGAACATGGCAAATTTATTGTCTTGTTAAAAATCATTTCTAAGTTTTTTCAAGTAATGCACTCTCTCCTGTAACAATGGTTGTCATTGGAGAGAGATCACATTGACTAATGAAACTAAACAGTAATTTTAAAGTAGACTATATAACATCTCAATGATTTCAACACACTTCAGAGGTAATATGTAAATAATTCACATATAATCAACTCAATAGACAAAGTAATCTAATTACCCTGATCATCCCAGTTTTCAGTTGATGGTTGCAATTCTTCTGTTCTGTGGTAACTTGGCACTGAAGTGTTGCCTTTGAAGTAAAAACCATCGTCATCTTTTTCACTTCCTACATGTAACAGACAAATTAGAAAAAAAAGGGTAAGTCTCTTAACCCTTTCACTCCCAAGATCTGATTGTTCATTCACCCTTCCAGCTGCTACACATTTCCTATTTAACTGGTTATGAGAATTTGGTGTTAGTTTAAAATAACAACTCTACCTCGTAAGTTTGAGTATTTTCACCATCTGTTTGCTGGATAAGGTATGGATATTATAGGAAGAAGTTGCATTTTCATCACTTCCAGAAGTTAAAGGGTTCAGTGCTGCATTGATGGGAGGTATTTCAGAATAATTTGGTGTTAACAACTGAATTAACGAAGTAATTTGGACATTGTAGAGATATTCTAAAGCTTATGTGTCAAGCGTTAGCCCTTCATCAAAGCAGAATGTTATATATTACAACTCTCTCAATATCCACCACTCATTTCTGCAGCTTTCCAGACCCCAAGCACATTTGAGGAAGTCTTACTGTCAGAATATTAAATTTTATTTCACTTAACCCTTTACAACCTAACATCAGTATGCATATTTTCCATACTGTTCTTTAGACATTTCCTAAGGTGCTGACAAGAAGAACTTGTTACTGATCCAATGTTTCTCTCGTTGGTGATCATTTCCTTTACTCTCATGACCTTAATGTTTGATTCAGGGATTATATTGTAAGGAGAAATTAGATGCTGGTCACTCTTAAAGTTTTAAGGGTTAAACTATCTATTACACATGTTCCTTTATATGGCTTGTTAACAAGTGTTCTTAATCAAAAACACTTACTGTCATTTCAGAACCCATAGCTTACCAAAACCAGTATAGTACAATGCAGTAATAAAATATTATCTTAACACTGTTTGAAGAGGTTCTCCTATAAAAAACTCAGTTATGTAAAATATTTGGCCTTCTCACTCATCACACATAATATCCAGTTTTTCATGTTTGCGCAAAATTCCGAATGATCATGTTCCACTTCAAAATTATAAACCAAATTCACAAATTAATATTTTCACTTTTTCAAACTTGTTTATAATGACATCTCATTTCATTTGCTCCAGAACCATAGGTGGTTTGTTTTATGACTAATTGTTCATCATTACCTAACCACAGCTGTTCAAGAAAAATATATACTCATTTTCAAAACAATGAAATAGCAGGAAATTCATCATGCAAAACAAATTGGTTCATGATCCACATTTATTTCAGTTCTTCATTCATGAGTCATGCTTCAATAAAAAAAATCAGTTGCCATGGACATGAAAAAGATCTTATAATCTTTAATCAGGATTAACAAATAAAAAATAATTTAAATCATGATTCACAAGAAAAAAAAAGTTGCCCAATCATGCTTTTTGTAAAAAGTATATGGAACCTTCTCTGTAGGAAGAAGTGTCTGGGGGTGGGGGGTTACTATATTACTTTTTCCCCTGGTGAGGATGCTAGTCCATAACAGCATTAGCTGTTAGGTTTCTGTGACCATTCTTTGATACCCAATTATACTTTTGGACACAGTTGTTCGTAAGGTGGATGATGCTGGATAAATCTCTATTTAATGGATGGTGCAGCACATTCTTTTAAAACTTATCAACAGGATAACATTTGAACCATTTGAAATGTTTTCTATCCTTTGAACAACTTGGCTCTTGGCAGAAAGAGGCCTGGTGGGGTTTATGTTTCTTGCCTGTGAACACCACACAATGACCTTGCTAGGTCTCAAACCCAGACCTCCCCATCCAGAGTCCATCGTGCAGATGGTTAGGCCAGTATTAACCCTTTGACTAGCATCTAATTTCTCCCTACAAGATCAGCCCTGAATCACACAGTAAGGTCATGAGAGTGAAGGAAATGATCACCAACTAAAGAAGCTCGTGATTGCAAAACAAATTCTCCTTGTCAGCACCTTAGGAAATGTATAGAGAACATTAAGGAGAATATGCATACTGATGTTAGGGTGTAAAGGGTTAAGATTAGTCCCGTAACTTAACAGGCTTTGCGAGGTATAAAACTACAGCACATGGAAAGGAAATAATCCAGCTGATACACATCTGTTGTTGTAAAATGCTGAGAATTGATCCATGAGTGTTGTCCATGGAAAATAAGTAAAAATTAATTTTCCAAACAAAATTCATTCCTTACCTTTATAATTATACTGCTCAATGGTAGACTAGAAGAATAAAAAAATGAATATCAGGTTGGTTACTTTACATCTGTTAGGTAATTTCTCAGTTGCAAGGGGTGGGGGAGAGGGGGGGGGCAGGTTCTTTGGGTGGTTCTTGGTGACAAGGTACTGCACCAAATATTTATATTTGCATCATGTTCAAGAAGCATTGCAAATTCCAAATGATTTCTGGTTCAAATCATGTTCCCTTGAAATGAGAAAGTGTCAATAGCTTAAAATACAAAGTTTTAGTTGTTATTTCTCTCACACAAAAAATGAAGAATGCTCTGACCATAAAAAGATTGGCACTTTGACCCAAAAATTTAATCATCATGAAAGTTGGAGAAATAGTGTTGTAAAAACTATGATAAGAGGTTCTCTCCATTTTCAGGCTTTTCCAGAAGCCCACCAATTCACCCCTCATGTACAATGCACAGGAATAAAGAGGGTAAGTTTCTAAAAAAACTGTGGTGCAGCTTCAGAGGGAGAGTATAACAGGGTAATTTAGTATTATCCACTGAGTTAATAACATAAATTGGTCGCCGTAAAGAGTTTCAAAGCTGACGTTATGAGCATTAGCCCTTCGTCAATCACTCTGGCAAAGAGTTAACATCTGAAACATCAGCTTTGAAACCCTTTATGGAGGTGAATTTATGTTATCAACAAACTTGATAATACTAAATTAAATTGCACAGGCTTTGGTACCCTGCATCACTACTGGTTACACAGCAAAGGCTGATTTGTGATATTTAAAACCCTTTTATCCATAATTAAACTTGTTTGGAATAGAAGCTTGTAACTCCGCTGCCAATATGACGACGGAAAATCATATCAAAGAGCAGGTAAGTATTATTCTTGTTAAAACTTAAAATACAGCTCCAAAATAAAGTAAATGTAAAAATTATTTCACAAACTCCTAAAATATTTAAACAAAATGACATGACATTGTGCAGTTTAGGAGACAAACTTAGGAAAAACTAACAATGATAACTTAACGCTTAAAGCAATTTTCTCGACAATAATCACGAAAGAAGGATTTCTCCATAAGTTGAGAGAATCTGCCATAGAGATCTTAAGAGTTAACCGATTCAAATATCAACTCGAAGACGAAAAAGAATGCAAATAGAAATTTAAACTGGATTATTCCACTTACTCTATCGGGACACCGGCTTACATGATGTCTAACATCATGCCTTAGCATGACATGTTTAGCGTTGAAAGGACAGTTAACAAAGTCTTTATCGGGATGATTCTGCCTGCACTTCATCAGATGGTGTTGAAATCTCCTTGCTTTTATTCTGTGAGCTTCGTCGTACGGACAAATCATTAGTGTATCTGGATCCCAGCGAGACCAATCCTCTGGAGCAGACCAAGACATCTGTGGTTTCTATTTTGTTAAAGAACAATAACAAAAGGATTTTGTAACAAAGACGCAAACGAATGATCCGAAAATGTATTGCAGAACTAGATACCGCTCGAAGGTCAGCGGAATCAATAATATATATATCTAAAATTTCATCGTGTAATCTTCACAAAAAGTGTTAGCGTACCCAGTCTTCCCAGCGTACCCAGCGTTTCCAAGTGAAGGGACATATACTAACTAAAGTGGGTAGTTTCTAAAAATTGGGACGAATTTCGGCAAAGTGGACCTTTTTGAAGATCTCAAGCCCTCCCAGATAGATTCTTCCTACGGGTCTCTCTTCTTACCATCACATGGGACCAAGGCTACCTCATGGATGCCGATATAAATTCAATTTGTTATTATTATTTATTTTATTTCCATTTACTTTTCCGAAATCGTAATTTTAAGTATGTCGTACATCTGTTTTGAAAACCCTTTCCACAACTTCTTCAAGATACATGAACAACTTTAACAGTTTGGGTTTTTAGACTTTCAACAGTCACTCATTCCGACAAAAAGCGAACGCTCGAAACGTCAGCTGTAGAAACTCTTTACAGTGGCCATTTATAATTATTTACTGAGTTCATGAAACTAAACTATCTCCACTAATGCAGCACCATAGTTCAAAAATTTATCCCCTTTAATCAATTTTCAACTGGGGCGCGCACTTCCGGATCTTGACTGGTTCTTTCTAATGAAATTCCCAGTTGATTAAGAGTAACAGCTCTGGCTTGCCCGGCTGTTTTGACGGGTATGATCCGTTCCACTCTATCAAGGCACAGCAAACGTTTATACTCCTGTCTAAAATTTCTGTTCATGGCTCCATAAATAACAGGGTTGACAGAACTTGACATAGTTGCTGAGATTGAATAAAACAAGTACACCTGCCTGGGTTGATTGGAACCATTTTGAACAAAGTCAATAGCTTCAATAACAATTACAGGCGAGAAACAAAGGATACTCCCGAGTACCATGACCAAGAGAATTCTGGAGACTTTTATTTCTTCCACATTTACTCTGGTATGGACTCCGTTAGATTTTTTGTGCGCGCGCACCGCCCGAAATATCCTAAAACTACAGTAAGATAAAACACTCATAGAAACGCCGCCAAAAATCGAAATTAAAGTTATAAAAAATGGTTCTTTGCCGTCTTGGTTACAAAATATTTTTCCTGGATGAAAGCTGTACGTATGCCCGGCAGCAACGTAAGGCAACTGCACCAATAGAGCAATCAACCATGCAGCCATGATCATTGCTGAGGTCCTCCGCGCCGTAAAAAGTCGGCGGCAATCGTTTGGTTTCACGATACGGTAAAATCTGTTGAGCGACATCAGAGCAAGAGACTCAGTAGAGGCGAAGGCAACGGCGCTACCAAAATATCCTTGGAATTGACACATCGCATGATCGAAAGACCATTCACTTTTTACCAAGACTGATGCGTTTAAAGGGATGGCAGGTGTCACCATTAATATGTCTGATAACGCCAACGACACGATGAATTTGTTTGGAATTGTTCGTAGTCTGGGTGATCGTAGAACAACTACTAACGTCAGTATGTTTCCGAGAAATGCCACTATTGTGACCAAAAGCATCACGACGGTTTCTATCACAATAAGATATGTGTCCCTTGACTTTAGATCGCGGTCAAGTCTTTCCAAGTTATCCATTTTTTACGTATGCGTAAATGACATTCAACGCCCTTTTTGTACCTAGACTCCAAGTATCAATTCCTCACCTGACGTCAATGTAATATGACTATCATACAAAATGAAGGAGAGTCGAGAGGCGAAGGAACAATAAGATGAATGAATCTCATCGAGGGAACTTCATAACTTAAAAGGATCTTAGGGTTGTCTCCTATCTTTCAGATTGATTAAACGAGAGAACAGGAAGGCGACTTTACTTATGATGACAGACTGTTTGGCGAACATGCCACTTGGTGATATAAAGAGGATTCGGATTAAAGTAAATATAACCTTTTTTTTTTATTCGTAGACCCATCCACGAATTAGCAATCTCTTTTAATCTGTTTACAGGCATCGACATTACTGATACTAGTAGTATGTACTGAACGCTTGTCATCTATATTGATAATTGTAATCCACTGGATAGGCGGCGAAATCCGTTTATTTGTCTTTTTTTTTTTCGTCCTCATTACTCTCGATTTAATCAAATTCAACCATGAAAACCGATATCACTAAAAAGGAGTTACATCTTTTGCATTTGTTTTCGACTCAAAAGAAAGTATATATATCATTGTGTGATCTGAGGCAGATATTTTAATTGCAATTCACTAATTGGAACAAGGAAAAACAAAAGAGGCTGGTGTATCTTTATTAAAGTTAAATGATGGGGAGACTGAAAACAAAGTCCAAAAGTTATGGCAAGAATAAAAGCCAATTTCTTAATAGTAAATTTGTCGCTTCAGTTTTCTACCCGCTGAATTATTTTGCGAAAGTGAATAAAGTAAGAATTCGTTCCCATTTGAATATTTTATTCATTTTGAACTATTAACTAACAGCTTGGCCAGGCAAAAACGATTCGTTAGACATATGTTCTCAAACGCACCAACAAGCTGAATGATTAATTTCCATCGAATTCGAACGGTTCTCTTTAATGAAATCATTCCTTTGTTATAATTTTCATGTTTTGTTTTCATCCATTTCTTTTGTGTATAAAATGCGAGCAGCTGCGTAGCCCAGTCACCTAGAAGCTGGGAGTCCCAAACCCTAATGACACAGAAATTTCCCAGTTATTTTTCTTGCAGTTACCAGAATCAGCCATCAGTATTCTCAACATCCCTCCCATCTGTTCCATGCTACACTCTACACTCTACACTCTTTTTTCCTGTGTTTCAAAATTTTGAAAATATCTTACCGTTTAATCAATAGCATGTTATGCAACCCACGAGTTGAGATGAAAATCATTGGTTAATGTATATCAAATACGCTTTTCAGTTTGTGTCGTCACCAGACATGGCGCAAGATAATTTTCTTTTATCTAAATAAATTTTCATCTCTGATATGGGCTTTGTACCTTCAAAATTCTATATCTGTTGTATTATTCTTGCACAAAGTAAATCATTTACAACTTCGATTGTGAAATTCGCGCTTGTTGTGGTTTTCATGTGTTGTAAAACTTATATCTTTCTCCCTCGTACTGCAGATGTACTTAAAGGGAGCTTCTACTCGATCTTGCATTTATACCTTTACGTCTTTTTCTTGACTTGTAAGATGTTAAACTAATTTCTAAGTATCATAAATATTCAGGCCAGGAAAAGAATCAGTTTTAAATGTATGTCATTTGCACAATTCGCCAAGTTTTCAACGAGCTGCGTCAAATTTAAGAAGATTCAGTAGTCAGTTATCTCGGGAGCTGAAAGAAGATCAGGACACCCCAACCTAAAGCCGGAGAGTGTCGCTAAACTGTAAAGTCGAAGTCCTCGATGTAACGATAGCACTCGTCGTACAAATACAGCTTATTTGATGCCTTCGTTGTTTAGTCAGCACTATATAGCTTTATAATTATTTAGTGAAATGTTCATCCTTCTTCTGATTTCTCTCCAGTGGATTGAATTTCTGGATGGAAAACTTCGACATTGAATTCTAAAACGCAGCAAGAGAGTCCCTTCAAGTTTTTTGCTTCGAAGGTTTTAGTGAAGCTCAGTTCATCAGGATCAATGGCAGTGTCTGAAGTATTTTTTTTTTTTGGCAACTGCTGCTGCCAAATAATACAGAATTGATGTGATTTTCATTTTAAAGGCTTTATATTTAACGTAAAAGGATGAAGTTGAGCTCCAAATAAATAACTCGACTTTGGTAAATTGAAAATTTAGAACAATGAATGGTTTATAAATTAGACAGTTAAGGAGTTATATGGTCACGCCGATTAATTGAACTGGTTAAAAATATCAGGAATAGTCAAGTCATACTTGAAATGGTACAGTCTAAAATCACAATTTATGTAGCTCACATTGAACTGAACAAACCTCTATGGCAATTAGTGTAATATCCTCGGTAAAAATGACAAATGTAAGCCTTAAATATTCAGTGTAATGTGAAATGATTCGGCGCCAAGCCAAACACATAAGCTTAATAAATAGGGGGTTAACTTTCTAAAGAAACTGAGGTGCTGCGTCGGTGGAAGAGTATAACAAGGGGACTTAGTCTTGTTAACTGAACTGATGACGTAAATTGGCCACCATAAAGAGTTTCAAAGCGTTTCGAACGTTAACCCTTTGTCAGAGCGATTGGATAAGTTGCAGTTCTTTGTTTGGACACCAAACAGTTCAGCGACACATTGAATAATGTAACTTAACGGCAAACGCTTAGGTGTTTTGTTTTGTGTTTCTTTGTAAATCTATTTCGAGCTATCAGCATTCGCTTTCTTTGCAACTTACACCAGAACATAGCACGGCAGGCTTGCTCAGGCTGGTAACGTCTGAGCCGTTATGTTGCTTCTTCAAGTCATAAAAATCATCAACACCACTTGAGTTCTAAGGACTGTTTGTAGCAATTCCCTCTTTCATAGACATAAAGACAGTTCTCTCAACTGTTTAACCATATTTCAAGAATGATCAACAATGGTCCCGTTTATAAAATTGCTAGAGGAGTAAATCCAATTAAGAAATGAAAGCACGAAAGCATTCTACAACCAAAGTTGTTGCTTCTGTTAGCCTCTTTACTATCAGTATCTTTACTTTGCTTGAGCTAGCTAAAAGGGCCTTCTCATGTTGCTTAACAGCCATCAAATCTCTCTTCACGGAACATCTTTATTTCTATGTCTGAAACGCCTGGAAAAAAATGTGAACCGCCCTTTTGATTTATGAAGATCACTTATATAATCAGGAGGTCGTCTGGAGTTTTACTTGGCGAAAAAAAAAAAAAAGCTGTCCTCTGAAACCTTCGATGATTGAAATCTGAAAGTTAAACCTTGACAAGGAATTAGGTAATGTAAGTTCAGAAGGAGTTTACTCTAATCCCTGGAACGTTTTTCTAGGCTATATTCTACTGCATAAGAAAAATAGCTTTCCTATCCAAAAATTTTAATTGAGAC